CATCCCGAAGTGACCCTCTAGAAGTATAAACCAGGAGCTGGGCAGGAATTAAGAACACAGATGCTCTTCCAGAGCACCTGAGCTGGATTCCCTGTACCCGAGTTGGGAATGCACAACCCTCTTTAATTTCCATGCCAAGAGTTTCAACACCCTCTACTGGCCTCATCAGACAATTGCATGCATATGACCCCCATAACCCCCCTCTCAAAGTATTAAGAAAAATAAATCTTTTCAAAAAGTATAAATCAGAAAAGGTCACGCTACTGCATCACCTAAGCCTCCGGTAACTTTTGATATTAAGCAAAACAGGCTCTTTCTCTCATTTTCTCTCACCTTTCCTCTCCCTCCCTTTTCCACCCCCCTCTCTCTGAGTCAAGCTTCTGCCTATGGGGATGTTGAGGTGTTGGCAGCCAGTGCCCATTGTTCATGTTAACCATACCCTGCCTTGCTGTATATGTGTTACTGTATGTGAAGTAACCTCATGAGGGTATCACTACAAGTATTCCCACTTTGTTGTTGAAGTAAGGTCTAGAGACTTTAGAAAAAATGGCCCGAGAGTCTCAGCCTACCCCTTTCTTAGAGGAGAAGCAGAGGTGGGAGGATCTGTGTGAGAAGGTGCTGGGAAGAGAGGGGTTGCTGACATTCAGATGTAAAGTGAATGAATGAATGAATGAATGAATGAATAAATAAATAAATAAATAATAGTGTCAGCCTAACTTCTTGATTTGACTTAGATATCAACTCTTGATACTCTTTTTTTCCAGATATTAACTTAAATATTTTATAACCTAAATAGTGAACAAAAGTCATCACAAAAGCCTGTATCTAGGTCTTGCCATTCACCCTCACTGGTATCTCTGTAACCGAATTCTGCTTTGGTGTCATGATATCAGTGTATGCTGAGGATGGATACAGCATTAATATCATAACCTGATGTATTTCACCTGAACAGTGAATATCTTTCTGTCAGTGAGAGGGGCCTCTCCTATGCCATGGCTTTGGTTAGTAATGCTTGGATCCAAGTTTGGCATCCATATCAATAAACTGTACGGCACTCAGGGGGAAAGTCTTCAAACTATTTTCATTGGTTCTTCGAGAAGTCCATGTAATGCCTGCTCACCCTCAGCTCCTCCCCTGACAATCCTTCCATTATCTTCTCTTCCTATCAAGCCCAGCTTGCGTTGCCTGCTAGTCTTGGGGTGGGGCCTGCTCTGGTATGTGGTCTCATAATTAAAGATCCAAGACCGTTCCGCTCTCAGCAGCTATCGCGTACTAACAGCTATTGGGGTTACATGTCTACCTTTCCAAATGTATGCTGGGATTTTGCTTGGCTAGAGCTTGCATGGGTCTTGTGCGTTCTGGCACCAGCACCTTGAGCTCCCATGTGCATTTGCCTGGTGTGTCTGGGATGCACTGCTTCCGTGATATCATCCCCCACCTCCGGCTCTTACAATCTTTCTGCCTCCTTTTCCCCAAAGATCTCTGAGCTTTGGGGTGAGGGGTTCAAAAGTCCCAAATTTCAGCACTAATATAACTCAGACATTATCTTCAAGATCCTCAGTCACCCCCTTATTGGGCATCCAGGAACCCCAGGCTGCCCCCATAGTCTCCTGCTGCTAAGGCAGTACCCCGCATGGAAGCTCAGCATACCTCACCTCTCTGTGCCACTATGCAGAGATGAGGTCTGTATGCTGCTTCACGTGGTTTTGTTGTCATTTGTTCTCTATCCATTTTAAACATTTTCTAATTTCCATTGTGTGTGGTCTTTTCCCTTCACTTAGAGTGTGAATTGATCAGGAGTGTGTATTTCAGTCACCAAAATTTATCTTACTGCCCTTTGGTTATTAACTCAAAACTTAATTGTCGGGGTAGAGACACGGTTCAGTGGTTAAGATCATTTGTTACTCAAATCATGGGGATCAGAGTTCATATCCCAGCACCTACACTGGACAGCTTACAAAGTGCCTATAACTCCAGCCCCAAGGGATTCAGCACCTTCTTCTGACTGCTATGAGCACATGCACACATATGAACACAGACTCACCCTGACATACACACAGAGACACATGTATAACCATAAAGAACAATTCAAACAAACAAACAAACAAACCCCTTTAATTGCAGCTTAGACAAAGAACATAGACATCTGGGAGATGGGCACATAGATTTACTATTTCCACACCTTGAGTCATAAACTCTCCCCCAATGATTGCATCTGCAGCAACTGTTTCACGTAACTCCAATGGTCATCAACTCTTGTGTGCTATAAGCATCTGCTCACTCTCCTCCCAGATCCTCAGGACCATGGTCTCTGTGTGATCATGAGATTCATTTGCATATACGACAAGCATTTCCATCCCAACAGATCAGAACCCGAGGTCTAATTTCCAACCACCTGGAATGTCTTCCTTTCTCCCTTCTGCTTTTACTCTCCATTTGTAATAAAGATCCACATTTTATCCAACTAGTCAGGCAAAAGTACGAAAATTACATCCCAACCCTCTCTCACCAGTTGGCTGAGCTGAACTGCATAGTTCCAATGCTATAAATTACATTCCTTGAGTTGCTGTTGAAACCGTTTTTACCTTTCACAGACGAAGTCTCAGTACCTCACAGCTAATCCTTGACTCTACCACACTGATCCTTCTAACAATCAGAAGGATTCGGCTCCTCATAATGCCGCCTTTTTTACATCTGTGAACCACGCATCTAAAAACTTCAAGCCCCAGAATTCCATTTTCCTGCTTAGAAACCTTTGCTCAAAGCCTACAGAATAAACATGAACTTGACACCCCAAAACCAGAAGATATCTGCCTATTATGGAAATACAATCATTTTAGCTTTGATTTGATATTAAATGTTAGTTAAATTCTTCAATTTCCAGTTACATTAAAAGTGTAAAGCTGAGAAGAGTGGGTATAATTACCAGCTACACTCTACATGTTCGCTCCTGTATTCACGGGCAGGTGTGACTCTCGCCCCTCACCAAAGCAGCCCCTTTTCCAGCAGAGGAGACCGTCACAGAAGTCCACAATTAATCACAGTGCAAAGAAAATCTGACTTGTGGGTGCCCACAACCAGCTGATGCATGTACAGCACAACCCATACACCAAAAGGCTCAGGAAGCATGGCAAAAGATGGGGAAGAAAATTTGTAAGAGGCAGTGGACCAGCACATCTGCTGTAAGACACTGCTCATACCCAGTCACGCATGTAACATGTGTTTATGGGCTAGAAGACATATTTGTTAAGTTCCCTCAAACAATCTTCTACTAATTCTTGAGATACTACAGATAATACCTCTGGGACTTTGGACAAATTTGAAGCAGATGAAGAGAAACAGGGTAGTTAGAGGTTAGGACTCTTTATAAACAATGTGGAATTAAAGATAATGAAGATAATGTTTTATCTGTTGATGGAAAAACAATAAAATCTTAAAGGAAACAGGAAAAATGAACATTGTTCGATGGTAAGATAGGAGAGAAAGGCATGTCTTGTGTGCCCATAGCCTCAATTTATCTAAAGGAAAATGATTAAAGCATAGTGACACATGAAACATAACAGCCCGCCCCAATGCACTCATGACTCATAACTTCAGCTACAGCAATTTGGAGTTGGATTTAGGATACCATTCTTTTAAAAGAATGACATTTAAATTAGATACTGCATCCTCGATGAAAGAGGTCAGGCAAATCCTATCTATTCCAGAAAAGTTCTCATTAAACTTGGTTGAAATAAAAGAGGATAGATTCATATAGAGAGATAAAGTTTGACTAATATCGAGTTTTAATTGCTCGCTCAGAACCATGGGCATCGATACCCCACTGCTTCCTTATCAGCAAAACAAGGTTGTCATGTGATGCTTGATATTTGATCTATCTATAATGAATGTGTTTTAAATTAGAAAACAAGAATAGCAGTGTACTAAAAAAAAAATCCATCAATCCTTGAAGAGTAGCTGTGGGATAAGTTCGGTAGTCTACACATAGGGTGAACCCATTGTACTGTCCCATCAGTAGTCTATACAGGGTATTTGTACTGTCCTATCCTGAAGCCTGCCTAGGGCTCTGCCACTGGGGAGCCCTAAGATCTCTGTCTTAGTTATCCAGACGTCAACTTATATTCTCAGAATGGTTGCTGCTTCTGTTGCTCTTGGTTAGACCTTGGCTGTATCTCTTAAACTAGAGTGAAATGCAGAAGCTGTATCTCACATAACATCTGGAATTCATGATATGATTCAAGAACCTTCAAATGTTTCACTGCTGAAGTCTCCTCTATGAAAGCTTTCAAGAAAGAGCGAGATTCTTTACCAAGCCTGAAGCCAAACTCAGTATTTTAAGGCATATTCAAACAAACTTGATGTCTACTATAAGCTTAATTACATTTATTCCAGAGTATGAAGTCCAAATGATATATGCATTTAACAAGAATTGGAAGCACTTCATATTGCTAATTCAGTGGAGTTTATATATCCAATTTTGTTTACAATTCTTAACGATGTGTCATTGACCATTGCTATGCAGAACAGACAAATCAGCTGTAATTTCATCAAAATTAAAATGTGGATAGTCCAGAGTTTGCATATCTAATATAAACTCTGAAATACAAGATGTTCCTAAATCCTAAAATATGTGATACAGCAGTAGGTGTGTGTCATCACCTCTGTGAGGGTCACAGTTACAACTCAGGAACCTGGAAAACATTATACACGTGTCCCTTCTGGCTAAGCACATATGAAACATAAACTTAGATTCAATTCCCATTGTCATTATGAAAATGATTCAAATCTTGAAAGTGTTCTGGCCCCAGGAACTTCAAATCATACTCAATTTCCTGTTTCCTTGGGATCTCCGATACAGTAAATGTGGTCTGAACTGCTTGACGCAGACAAATTTCACAGAGAATCTTTCTCAAGCTTCCCACAAACCCACACATTTTGTAAATTAAGTTAATTCTCATCATGTTTTGTTTCAATTTTTTCATCTTTTAATCAATGATTTACCTCTGGTCCTGGAGGGCCAGATGGTCCCTGTGGTCCTGGGTCACCTGGTTGTCCCTAAAAGGGAAGGGAAAAATCAAAATATGAATATTAGCTTAATAAATAGAACTGAAAAATGGGAACTAGCATTTTGCAGCTGAACAACTTTTAATATATTATGTTAAACAAAGTTAGAATTCCAGAGACTTAATTTGGAAGTCTTCAGACTCTTACACACTCCCCGTTCTACACTGTCAGCCCTTGAGAGCATCAGCTACCTTTTCCTTTTCTGGCTTCAGGTTTCACCCACTTCTTATCACATCATCACTGTGAAACTTTAATGTTTATGGTGCAATATGTATTTACTTCTGTTAGATAGACAAACAAATTAACCAGTCAGTTGGCTCTGTCAAGAAAAGCGTAGGTGTGAAACTGTGCATGCATGCATATATGTGCATGTGTGTTTGTGCACATGTGTGAGTATATGCATCTCTGTGTGTCTGTGTGTGTTTATATGTGCATGCGTGTATGCATTTGCAGGTATGTGTATGTATGTGTGTATGTGTGCATGTGTGTGTATGTACATATATGTGTGTGCTTCTCCAGAGACAGGCTGAGAAAGCAGCAGCAAGGATTCCTAGAAGAGGATTTGCTTTTTCTAATCAAAGTCCCAGGATGCTTGTGGAGTAATTATCACCTGGACTGCAATCCTTGCTGCTTGGTGTCTCTAAACCTCCCTTAGCTCAACAAAAGATTATAAAGACAGTGATAATGTTAACACCCTCGAAGTCTTTGTGAGGATTAAATGGGACGATGTGTGGATAGAGCAGAGCCAGGGCACAGAGAGGGATCAGGAACGTTAACCAATGTGACAACGAAGAACTGTCCATTTCCTACCCCGGTCTTTCTCTGGGCTTTGTCTGCAATTCCCAGATCACTTTCATTCTGGGATTAAATTTTGAGGGCTTGGATTCAATATTTCAAAAGTTACTTTACTCATAGTGAAGTTGTAAAGCAGGGCAGAAGATGAAAGAGGAGGGCATGAACCTGAGGTAGAAGGTGTGGATGCTTCCAAGGGATGACAGTGTAGACCAGAGAGCAACCCAAAGACCCTCTTGCTTTCACTAAGAAAATTGCTGAGTTTGCTGATTTTCCTCTAAGCTTGCACATCAGCTTTTAATCTGATTAGAATAGGCCCAAGGTGACATCAAATTGCAGGACACAACAGGCAGGAGGGGACTTATTTCCCAACAACTAGTTACCCATATTGACTGGCTTCCTTCTCAGTGTGAAGCTATCTGACATGAGAGAGCACAGAATAACTACCACACCAGAATATAGACAGTTTGGGCAATGGGTCATAAAGGGCTGAACAGCAGAGACAATCGTGTAGTCTACCTGAATCAGTGCATAAGGCATCTTAAATCTAAATGGTCAAGTGCCTCTCTTAAAGGGTGATGGGGTGGGTTTCACTGGGGCCCTCTAGTGGCAAAAATAAATTAGACTGTAACTCGAAGCACCAAGGAAAAAATAGCATGTCCTCAGGCCTTTGCTTTGACTGACAAGCAAATTAAAAACAAAATAATTATGGAGCAATTTGATTCATTTTTCACAATAATTGGTTGTTTTTATACAACTTAAGTTGTCAGCTTTCTGGGGATGTCAGTTTTCCTTTATAAAACATTTTATGAAGAGTTTTCAAGTAGTTTACAGAATGCTTCAGTGCTGAGTGAGTCTATAAATGAGGAAACTTCTAGTATAGTAATGGTAAGGGAGCTAGCACACACACACACACACACACACACACACACACACACACACACACACATGCTAAGAACACATTGTCTTTGTTTTCTATAGCTTTGGGAGATGAGAGTTCCTGACCCTTCCCCAGTGGTAACCTTCCCTGATTTCTGAACTTGCTGAACAAAACCTTCCCTGTTCCAGAGTGTACACACCTTCCACATCAGGCCTTTCCTACATCTGGAAAATATTCTTTCATGTTATAACTCGGATCCACTTGGACATGCTAATAAAAGCCAGTAAAATCTAAGATGACAGGAAACTCGAGCTAAGACTTAGGAGGACATCCCGAGAGTCATTCCTTCCATGGTAGCAGACAAAGCTTTCAGGCAGGCACAAACTTGCTTAACCAAGTGTTGAAGTTTGTCTCCTGTTAACTGATTTTGTGCAATTTTTTTTTCCTAAGGTAGGACTTCTATCCTTACTGGAGAAAATTTTCAGGCCAATATCTCGGTATTAGTAAGATACAAATGAGTTTAGACACCAAAGGAAAGGTTCTTTCTTCAATATATGATATGTATGTGTTCATATGGATACACATATGTATGGAAGACTGTATCCCTATATGTGTTCATGTGTGCATGTATGTGTGTGCACATGTGCATGAGTGTGTGTTTGTGTGTGTGTGTTTGTGTGTGTGCGCGCGCGTGTGCGTGCATGCATGCATGGCTAAAGTGAAAAAAACATAAGGCTAGTGGACAACTACGTCACGCCATGCATGTATCCTGCCAACACCATTAAGCACCAAGACTCAAGTTGTGGCATGTACATGTTTATCACAAAATAAAACAAAGTGAAGGTTCAAACCTACTGAAGGTCCTGACTTTCCTCTTATCCCTGGGGGTCCTGGCGACCCAATGGTGCCCTAGAAGAAGAAATTAGAGGGAAATGGTATATTAAAGAAAAATTTCTACTTGTATACTATTAAAACTATTAACACGTATTCTAGAATTAAAAAAAAATCATACTGACACCATATCCTTACAAAATACATAGTTAAAATAATGGTTTTCTTTGAGCCAATGTTTTTAGTTTTTTGTTTTAGTCAAATGAGTGGAATGAAAATTACCTTGTCTCCAGGATACCCAGGTTCTCCTGGTTCCCCTGCCACACCTTGCTCACCCTAGGAAGCACAATTTCATAGAATAGATTAAATCATGGTGATTCACAGGAAAACAAGTACTCATTATAGAGGAAAAACTTTTCACTTCTCCTACTTTTTAGAAAAATCAATATAATACAAATTAGACCCTATAAACAAAACAAAAATACTTAACAATAATTTCTGTTGACATGAACAAAAGAACCAACCAGGGTGAGAAATTATCTCTGTGAAATGTTAATATTGAAATCACCTTATCACCTTTGATTCCAGATGGTCCTCTATTTCCTGAAAGGCCCTAAAAATACAAAAGGTGATATTTTGTGACATCGCAGAGAAATTAAAGAGAAATATCAATAAGCAAAGAGAGACATACCATTGGGCCAGGAGCTCCTGGAGGTCCAACTGGCCCTGCAGGACCGACACTTCCCTGAGAAGTGGCAAAAATGATATCATTAGGCATGCATTAGGATCAGAGAGAGGGCAGGGTACAGTTGAAAGATAAACGAACTGCAAGCATTTTGCCTATTTTCAGCATCTTTTCTTATCTTTTAAAACAATACTCAGTTCTTACACTCTCGGCATCCCGTCCTTCCCAGTCTACGTAATCAACCTTGCTTCCATCAAACTCCCACACCCTTCCTGTTCCATGACTTTCATTTTGCAGCGTCTTTCCAGATGGGTAACATCTTGTAGAAATATTTTAGTTCCAAGCTCCCCACAAATAGTCAAATACATTAATCAACTGTCTCAGCTTTCCATTTTATTCATTATTTAGCAAAAGATTAAAACACTTAACTTTTAGTGTGTGTGTGTGTGTGTGTGTGTGTGTGCTTCTGAGTGCAGGTGCCTTCAGAGGCCAGAAGAGGGTGTCAAATCCCTTAGAACTGGGGTTGCAGGCAGATGTGGGTTGTCTCCCATGGGTACTGGGCACTTAGGAACCTGTCTGTAACACCACCGTATACACTTAACTCATGAGCCGTCTTTCCCACTCAAACTTCATACTGAGATGTTGCTATGTATCAGCACTGGTGTAACTTTGTTTATGGTTTATAATGTGCAGAACAAGAAAATTTACCAAGAGTTCATGAGTATAACGAGTAGCAACCAAAGGGCTCTCCTTCCTGGGCTTACCAGATTCATTCACCATTTACAACTTGGTGGGTATTACCTGTACCAGACACTGATGCTCGAAAAGAAAGATGAAAAAGGTGTGGTCTCTGTTGTTAAAGTTCTCAACACAATGCTCTAATTTCTCAAAAACAGAACTAAAATTCTCACTTCCTATAAGGGAGGGACCTATAAAGCCTCCTTCCGTATGTCACTGTAGAAAACACAGGTCACTAATAATAACATGCTGCTTGAAGGAAGAACTCAAACAAGAATGGAAATCTCTTGATGGTCCAGAGATCAGGTCTAATTTCTATTGTGGAGAATCTGGTTTTCTTCTTTCTCTCATGAACTCTGTCCTGGCTTCTCTGTAAACTCTCCATCCTGGTGAACACTTGGGTTCAACCCCAAGTCTCCCAATGGTAAGGATCTTAAAGTTTTGTACATGCTGATACCTCGGGCTACTCTGATGGATGAGGGAAGAGGACCCAAGGTCAGGCCATAGCCACACAGTGAGACAACAACTCAAAAGCAAAAAAGATCAAATGCTCAGAGCTGGGAGCACCGGCTGAGGCTAGTAATGCCCATGAGTCCGGGTTCGATCTCGATTACATGGGGAGCTGGTTAGCTCCCGGGGCCCTCCTACAGGAAAACCATGTCTGGGAAAGTAAAACAACAACCAAAAGTTCTGTTTCTGAGATTCTAAAAATGTCACTCAGGTTAGTTTGAATTCAAATCGCCGAGTTACCACCCCAGGCGCTCTCTTTAAGGTGTCTGCCATACCTCCAGATCCTCACTCCGTGTTTCCCCATTTCAGCCCTTTCTATTTCCGCCCCCATCCTACACTCAGCTAGGATTCTTTTTCTCTGACCATGTTCCATGTTCATCCTCTCCTTCACGATATGTTCCGAGTCTTTGAAGACACAGTCACTTACCAAGTGTCCATAGCACGTGTCCTCCTAGCCTCTTAATCTGTATGTGAGCTGAGAGCAGATACGTGAGCCGTTCGTTCTCCGCCCCCTCCCCAGACTCAACCTAACAAATGTGCAGTAATTATTCGGAGATAAAGCGTGGAATGGACACTGAAAGAACTAATTTTAAAATATATTTTTACTTTATACAGCAGTTTCTAGAGTTTTTAGTTCCCAACATTTCCCTACTTCTACATTTATGTGATACAAATTTCAGAATGGAAAACGTGACGCTGGTACTTTTGGAAGAGTCTTAAAGTTTGTGAATTATAATAGAGACAAACTATTCCCAGTGTGTTTAATCTTGAAATATATGGGACTGTGAGTAGCAAATGGTAATACTTTCCAGTTTAATAAATATTCAAGGGCAATATATCACTGCTTGCAATTTCAAATTCTTGTCACTAGGAAACAGTCATTCATATGACTACAGAGGCTAGTTTATTCAAAGCTCATAGCTTTAAAGATTATGGTCGGCTCAAAACTACAATAAATTTCTGTGTTTGGGAATTGTTCAGAAATAATCCATCTAGTGACAAAAAGACATTTTTATAAACAAAAAGTCTTTTTCTGTGTTATTTTTTTTCCTAGACAATATAACATTTTTAAGATTTGTCTTAGTATAATTTATCTCAAAATACTTAATCTGGCATTTTGAGCTGAACGTGTGATATCTTATTTTACTTTCTTGTGACTCTAAAAGAAACATTTCTGGGATCAAGAGATATTAGGAAAAAAGTACTATAAAGAACTTACTAAAACAGAAAGGTTTAAGGTAAAAATTGAGTAGTAAATACAAAACCATTATTGGATTAATATACTAGAATTGTGTAGCAAACTATCATCCTGGAAAACTACAGGCAAGTAATGCATAGTGGCTTTGTGTGAGTTTCAGTTCATCAAGGTAAGCCAAAGGTCCTACATTATTCCCTACCCATGATCCTCTCCTCCAGGAGATGCAGGAACAAACTGAAGATTCATGGGAACTTGGATGAGTGTGTCTGTGCTATAGCCCTAGGGCAGAGGAACCCACAAAGCTATAGGCAGCAGAGAACTTCAGAGTCAAAGAAAGAGACCAAAAGCACATGTTCGTTACATTAGATGAAGAAGCCACCAGCCAATTCATGAAGGTTCATATGAATCCGTTATTGAAAGGGCTGAGTTCTGCATGTTCAGTCAGGCCTGCCGTACTCATAGGTGAGTATGTCACTAGAGTAATAAAGAAAGCAAAGGCTGGCAACCAACAGCACAGGGAAACAAATGTAGGCTGGGCAAACATCAGCCTCTGGTGCTCCCTAACTGGGCAATAAAGACGATTTTCACAAGAAGAGGAAATACTACACTGTTGAAGAAACGGAGTCCCTCTAACTCCTTTCAACAAGACAGTCATAAGCATATCCATGCACAGAAACATTAAGCTATAGAAGAGAGCCATCTTAACTCATCCCAAAGTCAGCAATTACCTTTGTGATTTATACTACTAGTCCGATTTTCATTTCTGTTTGAAAAATATGCTTAAGCTGGGTTGATACCCAGCAATGACATGAAAACTCGCTCGGCTAAGTTTCTAAAGCACAACTGATCATTTGAATTGCACAGCAAACTGTTTCACAAGAGTGGTGTTCAGTGATACTCACTCTAACACCAGGGAACCCGGGAGGTCCGGCGCCACCTACGAGACCCTGTTATGAAAGAAATGTGTAAACGTGCTCATCATGTTCCACACAGCTGAGGGGTTTTCTGAAATGATGTCATATATTCCAGGGAAACAATATGTCAAAATTATCTTCCACTGAAAAGCACAAATTGCTTATATTTTTTTAAAACTGCTTTGGGATGTTAGAACTACCCTCTAGGTTAAGATCCTAATTCTCTTTGTCTTCTAAGTATTTAATGAAAGATGAAAATGCAATAAGTAACTTGATTACTGCTTGTGTAATCAATATTATAGACCTAGCTGGTCTGTATATTATCTGAAATGACAGGCCGTCTGTAATAGAGATTAGGGAAGCATTTTCGGATAGCTTAAAAACAACCCATAATATCTTTAGAAATACAGTTTTTAAAGTATCTACCTTTATTTTTATGTGAAGAATGAAAATAATACATGCTTTCATTATTAGAAAAATCATAATCTTACATGTCACCAATTTACGGAAATGAGGGAAAGGAATGGCCTCCCTCCACTCTTTTTTTAAGGTTTCATTTATTTATTATATGTAAGTACACGGCAGCTGTCTTCAGACACCCCATAAGAGAAGATCAGGTCTCATTACAGATGGTTGTAAGCCAGCATGTGGTTGCTGTGATTTGAACTCATGACCTCTGGAAGAGCAGTCAGTGCTCTCAATCACTGAGCCATCTCTCTAGCCCCTAACTCTTTGATTTACATTTTGAAACACAAATGTGATTGAATATGTAAAAAAAAACTATAAATCAATCTAAAAACATACAGTTTACTTTTATATTTAAAGGCTTAAATTATATTAAATAAGAACTATTATATATTTAACCAAAGAACATCTTTTGTAATGCATGTTTTAAATATGCTGAGTTTAGTTTTAATAGATTCCAGACTCATAAAATTGGCAAGCAGTTAAATAACAGTCATGTGAGGTCCATAAGTATACAATGTAGTCATTTTAAAATCTAAATGATGCTTACTTCATTACACTTGAAGTTAGAAGCCCCCTGCCCCTCCAAAAACTCACAGGCAAGAAAAAGTTGGTAAATATCCTACTCAAAACATTTAGTCAGCTAATTCAGTTCTAATTTTCTCTTAAACCCCATGACTTAGACACAAGCAAAACCTCAGCTAAGTCTACTGAGTTATCTAACTAATGCTAATTTGGAAAAAGAATTTTAAAAAGAAAATAGGTTTACACTCTTTGTGGTACTGACTCACATATAAAGAAATATAGGGACTAATCACAATTTACTCTGCACTAATGTTGTAATCACTTAAAAAGCTGATAAAAGCAATATGCGTATGGCGTAGACTGGAGAGAAGGTGTCAGGCTTTTCAGAAGGAGGTAAAGTGGAACAAGTTTTATGCAGTGCTGACTCAGCCCTCCACTCCTCTCTTTTCTGATGCAATGCAACCAAGAGGCACCGTGAGGACCTCCACATATGTAGGTCGGTGCTGTGGTCATGTTTACCCAATCACTTAAAGATGGTTAAAGTAATCAACATTAGTGACCATCTGTCATGATCGAGGTTTATCCAAACAATGTTGGGTTATCTCTCATACTGAAAATCAACAAAGTAGAGTGTGCCCAGAGGGATGGGAACTGTCCAGATGTACTGTGTGTAAATATGATCATAAGGATGCCACGTGCAGTTGCTATGGGGGACAGTGATGTTAGAGTGTAAGGATGGACCATCCCTGAGTACTCACAGGACTGCCATCCAGACCAGCAGGGCCTCTGTCTCCAAAGTCACCTGGAAAACCCTGCAGAGGAAGAGGAGAAAGACTGCCATCAAAGCCAGAATGTACCAAAACTCATTTTCACTGTGTTTTATAATGAAGAATTTTGTGACGAAAAGTATGTATGTCCTGGGTCGAGGGACATAGTGAGTTTGTGGTGTTGAATGTGAAGGCTTTTCAATAATGATGTGCCATTGATCTTCCCAACATTTACAATCTTTTTGTCAGCATCAGCATCCTCGTTATTTTGGTCCGTGCATGTGTTTACATAATGTATGCGGAATGTGGCGGGGCATGCATGCCTTGGTGCACGTATGGTGGGCAGAGGACCCATTTCTGGAACTGGCACTCTCCTGCCTTTATGTGGGTTCCAGGAATGGAACTTAGGTCACCAAGCTTGTACAGAAAATGCCTTGCCCACTGAACTGTATCCCCAGCCACAAGGTTCACATTTTGTAAAGACTACAAGAACAGTTTATGCAACGTACTATTCTAAATATTCATTTCAAAACTCATGTTAAACAAAATAAAAGACACAACTAGACTCGTACGTGTACAGAAAAGCACAGTTTCTCTTATTGTTTGATTAGATGGTAAGAATAACAGCAGCAGCTGTGTGGTTGAACACATTGTAACCTTATTCCTTTTAGCAACAGTGGACGGTCAAGCCACGATTCTGCCCTCACTGTCCTGTGAAATCAAATTGTTGTCAAGAAGTTTACAAACCCGCAACATATCACTGTGTTCAATATGAGTGTTTCTGTCTCAGTTAGAGTTACTACAGCTGTGATGAAACACTGTGACCAACAGCAATGCCGGCAGGAAGGGGTTTATTTCACTCACAGTTCCATAGAACAGTTCATCTCAAAAGCCATGAGGACAGGGATTTAAGCAGGGCAGGATCCTGGAGGCAGGCGCTGACGCAGAGGCCACAGAGGGGTGTTGCTTACTGGCTTGCTCCTCATGGCTTGCTCAGCCTGCTCTCTTGTAGAACCCAGGACTAGCAGCCCAGGGACAGCACCACATACAGCAAGCTGGGCTTCCCTCGCTGATCATTAATCAAGAAAATGCCTTATAGCCAGATCTTATGGATGCGTGTTCTCTGTTGAGGCTCTCTCCTCTCTGATGACCCCAGTTTGTGCCAAGTTGACAAAAAGAAGCTACCCAGTACAATGAGCTCACATATATATCTGAAAGTATTTGTGATAGCCAGATAATGAAAACAGAAGAGGAAAAATATTGCTATAAATTTGATAAATTAGAGATGATTGATTGACTTTTCCTCAGTGACACAATCAGTAGAGTGGGACACAGTAGATGGTTCGCTTAATGTGAAATATCCAGAAGAGGCAAACTCACAGAGATACAAAGTAGCGAGGGATGTGAATGTAACAGGAAGGTCGAGGGGCTACAGAGAACTGGGATGCCTTAGCAGTGATGGAGGAAATGTTCTAAAACTAAAAACCATGACAGATCACTAAAGCCTACCACACTGCACAGTTTAAAGGAGTTAACTTTGTGTTGTGTGAGTTATATTTCAATAAATTGTCCTGGAAAAAAAGAAGTAGGGCTTCAGACATGGCCCAGTCAATGAAGTGTTTGTGGCAAAGCAAAAGGATCAGGGTTCCAGTTCCCAGTACTCACCCAGTACTTGAGCTTGGTGACACATGCCTATAATCTCAGCACTGGGGAGGAAGAGAAGAGGACCTCCCTAGCAACCATTATCTAGACAGTCTTGCTGAACTGGGTGCTTGGATGCAGGGAGATCCAGCCTCACAAACTAAGGTTGGAGGCCATTGAGAAAGACACTTGATGTTGACCTCTGGTTTCCAAAGAAACACACACCACCTCCATACACACATGAACTCCTATGGTGATGAGTCAGAAACAAAGCTGGGAAACTGACAAACATTCTTGGATAGCCACTCAGGGCTTACCAAAGGATATGCTAAGTTTGACTTAACACCCTATCTCCATTGCCTACATCTGGTCCCTAACACCACAGTTCTACCACAGTCCAGAAAGAGAAGCTGCTCTCTGAAGTAGCCCCACACAGTTTGTGATTTCTTCCTACAGAAGAGAAAACAAGAGGGGAAAATGGGGAAAGGACTGTGATCTGCTTCACAGCTGTTAGAATTCCCAGACTTCTTTCAAGCAGCGGGAACACACACACACACGCACATGCACATGCACACACACACATGCACACACACCCTTTCAACCTCTTGTTTACTTCTGGTCACTGTCCAACATATGTAAGTGCTAGTCACTGCATCCTTACTCCTCAAGCAGTTTAGTTGAAATGATTGGTATCTAGTTTCTGATTTTCATGTTTGTTATTGAATGTAAACATTCCTTATTCTAGATAGAAAGAATGAATTTATTACTTCTTATTCTATATACATGTTCATCAATACATCATCAAGTTAAAAATAATTGTTACTAAGTCGAGGTGTCTTTTTGTGTTTTCATGAAACACTACATAACACTTTAACTGTGACTTGCTTCATTGAACAGATAGTATATGGTGACAAGTGATGGATACGACTGCCAAAATCACACTACAAAATCTGCTTAAAATTCTTAGAACCACAAAAATCAATAGAGATATTTCTGGCCAGTTTGATGGTTTTAGCTCCTGTGGAGAATCTCACACAGCAAAGACCAGTGGCTTATGTCTAGAAGCTGCTAGGCTATGGGACCCGATGGTAGCTGACTCAAAGCTGGTAGCAAGCCAGCACCCTCACGTATCTGATCAGACAGTAACTTCTTCCCAGAACTCGAATGAGCTTGGATATAAATTGCACCACTCAGACCTCAGTAATGAAGCCCCATGGCATCCTGAACACGACTTGATGTGTGAGCACGAGGCTCTGTTAAGCAGAGCCTGGGTCCTTGCCACAAAACTCAGTCTGCTGTACTTGTAGGATTTGTTAATGTAGCAGCAGAAACAGGAAACTGATAAAACTACCAGATTAATCCTTAAGTCTAGAATGATAAAGCCTTGCTCACATATTTTGTGATGGTAAAGGTCAGGGAATCTACCCACCATTGCTAGTTTCTTAAGCCTGCCATAGGTTTGAAGAAAACGGCTGCTGTCTTATTGTAAGCTCAAGTCAATGAATGTCAACATCAAACAGGTTAGAGTTTTCTGTTTACCTTAACAGTTTTCCCTTAATCTAATGAAATATTTGTACTCCTAAAACTTTATCATTCCAGCATTTCAGTTTTCATTTTCTAATGAAGAGTGTTTTTCACTTTGGAGAAAATTTGCATCTAATACATATGCAAATCTAGACTTAAAACATCAGGTGTTGTTTGTGATTCTGCAATTACATCTATTGTATTTGTGATTCTGCAAATACATCTATTGCTAACATCACATTAATTTTATGACCCCTGGGGTCATAAATAAGGGTACATATGGGAACTGGTCAACAGGAGCTTTGAATTATTAAGAACACAATTACAATGCACAAATGTCCACTGCATTCAGTTACACACACACACACACACACACACTTAGCATTCCTCTTCTCTAGTGTTTCTACTGCATGACCAAATCCTCATCCTAATTTTATGTCATTTCTGCCTCCAATATTAGTGTCACCTACAGGCTTTCATAGAAGACATGCTCAGAATGTCTCTGGGGACCACACAATACCAAATTGTGATAGGTAGCCTCAGCATTAAGATCTCAATGTGCTTGAGTACTTACAACTCCTGTTCTTGTGTAAACTCCTTCCATGTTAAATCATGACTGATGCTTATTACCCACAGAAAACAGACGTGGCGGGTGCATGATTCATGGAGCTAAAAGATGCTGCGGCCGCTGTACTTTGTACGCACTGTCTCTCATCTTTGGAGAAGATGAACCCATGTTCTGAAGACCCTCACATAGCACTGTGGAAGTCAGATCTTCCACTATCAACTAGCATCTACCCATCCAGCCAGTAAGCAAACCACCTAAAAGTTAGATCCTGTCAGCCCAGTCAAGCCTTCAGATGACTATAACACCTGCCCAAATCTTAACTTTAGGCTCATGAATTAGATTGCTCAAATAAGCCCCTATCAAGTTTCCAACTCAAAGAAACCATAATAATATATGTTTATTGTTGTTGAAGACCAGAACTACTTGGAGTTATTTTCATATAGCATTGAATAACTAACACACTGTAACAACCGTGGTGTCTGAAATTATAGAGCCTGCCCTGGTGGAGCTAGGATCGAGTGACATGTCACCCAGCTGCTTTTACTGCACATTTGTTGCATTTGTTTATGATCTTCAGAGCCTTCTAAAGCTCAAAGAATAAGTTTTCCTACTTCCTGAGTCTAACAATGATGCTGTTACTAAACATGGAAGTTTTCAAACATAAAATGTCACTCGCTTCTCCTTGAATATAGAGATGGTGTTAATATTTGAGATCATTCACAGATACTTGTCATGTGTTCAGATTTGTGTAAGCAATGAAAAAAAAGATTGTTTTCCTATTTCTGCAAAGAATTCATAAAAATAATCCATATAGAATAAGAAAATAATCATCAAATTGTTGTGACTACACCTCTACAGAATTCAAAAAATAAAAGCAATATAAATACTCCTATGTAATATACTTTTTTCATTCTAGCATAAGGTTTAAAAATATATTCAGCCTAAAGTAGACTAAATAAAAATTATCACTAATGCACTGATGATGAAAAGTATAGTAATAATAAATTTTATAGATAAGATACACTAAGGTGACGTACCAGTGTATGGAGAGAGATAGCTGACTAAGAAGTGGGGGGAGACCAGCATCTTTTCTCTAGAGTTAGAAAGATGAAGTACAGCCTAGATTTTACTTCTGTACATCACACACACACACACACACACACACACACACACACACACACCTATTTCTAGCATTTAAAAATTATTCAGGAAGGACACAGTGAAGGCTGGAGTGCGTCAGGCTCTGTGATAGCCTCTCTTTCCTCACAGCTAGGACAGTTTGATCCACAAGTCCAAGGTGAAGCTTGGCGTCTCAGCTGAGCTGATGACAGACTTCTGTAGGACATTGAGTCCCTCCAGGTAGGCTTTATTAGACCATGCCGCCAGTTTCCTAGGTCTTTTCTGCCTTGCTACTGAAGAATGGCTATCACCATGTGCTCCTACTCTGACAATTTTTTTTCCCTCATTTCAAAAAGTATTTAGAACACAGCACCTATTTACTACACTTGCTGTTTTCCCTCAAAACAAAACAAAACAAAACAAAACCAAAAAAAAAAAACATAGCCCCAAACACTAGACTTCACCACCACACATGACTGTGTGTTTCTTACTTTGATGACATACAATTCTGTCTACATTTGCCATCTGTTATCAGCCCTGAACATAATCCCCCAGCTGACTCGCCACCTGTGGATGACACGTCCCTGTGAAATCAAGCTTGTCTGGGGTTTTCCAAACAAGCAGTGGGTGTCTCGTCCCCAACCTCATGGGTGAGGCAAACTCAAAGTCCTGGAATCTGGAACTTTGTACACATTCTTTATATAGTAGTTAGCCAAATATAGTTGCAATAGACAGTTCCATAAATAGAAAACAGAAAATAGATATCACTTTCCTGGAGAAGGAAGAAATCATTGGAAAATTAATGGCTATCTATCAAAATACTCCAGTGTTTCCTTTATGACCCAATGAATTGCATTCTTTTTGGAAGCAAAGAAAATACTGTCTCTGCCTTCTCCAGAAGGCGTGTGCTTCTGAGATGATAGTGTGCTCTACGTGTGTATAAAGTTGCCATGAGCTAAACATAGACAGTAATAACAGATGCTGAGAAGAGAGCTTATACTCAACTCTTAACACTGGGGTTAGAAGCCAAAACATAGCTTACTTTAAATAGACTCCCCCGTCAGAAAGTTCTATGAGAAAAAGACAGGGCTGGGGCATCCTCTTCTATAGTTAGAAAAGTAAACCTCCCTCACGGTTTTTGATTTTGTTTTCCCAGGACTACGACCTAGGACAGTTTTACTTTCAAACTTTAAATGTAATATGATTTCATTACTTGTAATCTAGTTCTATCATGGTTGAGAAATCTTAAGAATATGAAGGTCTACATGTGTGTGTGTGCGGACACGTGTAAGCATGCAGGTGTGTCCCCCCATAGAACACACATGGAGGACAGAGGACAACCTTGGTCCTCACATTCTGTTGGAGACAGGGTCTCTCACTGGCTTGGAACTGCACCACAGAGGCCAAACTAGTGGCTCCCAAGCTTGCTGGGATCTGTGTGTCTCCACCACTTCACCAGCACTGAAACTGCAGACACGTACTACTGTACTGGATTTTTCATGGACTCTGGGGATCTGAACTCAGGTCTTCTGGCTTACAAGTTTTACTTTACTAAATGAGCCATCTCCCTACCTAAAGCACTGATTTTTAAAATAATTATTGTCTGGGTGTTATTGAGAATAAATGCCATCTCCTATTTCATGTGTGTCTTCAGTCATGGAAAGTCAGCTGTGGTATATATTTTTTTAGATGTGAAAGAATACAACTTAGTACAATAAACATTCTAGAGATAAATCAAGCTGGTGGCACTTTAAATACTTCTGAAAACATTAGAATTAACTTCTGACTACTGTCCTACAAAATGAACTTTGGAAACCGCACTGAAAAGCACATGGAATTATGTATAATGCATGAGATATGCAGGTCTCCAATAAACACAAACCTTGTCTGCCTTCACTATTTTTCCAAGAGCTGCTACTTTTCATGTCAATGGCTGCTTCAAGCCTTTAAAGAATATGATTTATGGCAGATCTGTTCCAAGATATATCTCACGTATACACAGTGAAGAGTGTGTCACAGAAGACCACTGTGGTGATTTTAGAAAGTCTCACTCAAAAACATTGCTTGCTACCTTGTTCGATTTTTTTTCTCCATCTGAGAGCTCTGGAGAATAAACGTTAGTCGAGTTCAGATCACAGGTCCTAAAGCATGCCCAGGGCTCATCTTCTGGGCCTGTCAGTCTTCACTGGTCAGTTTTATTAACAGGGCTTTGCGTTCCAGGGTCAATCCCTGGTATTTAGTCCGCTAGCATTCAAGTTTTGATCTGATTATGACATGCAAACAGGAGAGAAAGATAAGAACTGTAAGAGCTGAAGGCCCCAGCGCCTGGGTTAACATCTGGAAGGGCTAACAGCAACTGGGTTCACACAGGGTCTTTAACTAAGTGCTGCTTAGCAAGAACCTTACCCTTACACCCCTGCATCTCCTAATGAAAGGAGGGAGAGCAAATTTCAGCACCAACAACCCAAGTCCAAAGAGTTTATTTGCTAAAGTAACTATTTTAATACTCTTTGACCCTGAAAGTATCCCAAATTCCTAACAAAAACAACAGTCTAACTTCTAAGTAGTAATCATGATAGAAGAATCTGAAGAAATACTGTGTTACAAATACCAGCTAACTTTGTAAATACTGCACGCACGCAGGCAGACACTATTTTACTTGCAAGGGGGCAAGTTTTGAAGGAAGCAAGCTTTGAATAGAAGTAACTTGTAACAGAAATGTTACATTAAAGAAAACACAGTATGAGGGTAAATGAGAATTACCTCTGTTGTAAAGTAATCATTTCTTGAATAAGCAAAACAGTAAACCATTTGTAAGTCTGCCCATTTCAGTAGTGCTTGTATATTTAGAATGTCCAGAAAAGGCTCATCTCACTGTTAGCCTATGATTTCATTAAACAACAACTAAAGGACCAGACATCGTTGAGTTGGTTCCCTGTAGCTGATTTCATGGTTTGTGTTTACTCAGAAGTAAGTGATCATCTGCCAGAAACATGAACATGTGATTTGCACAACATTCTCGTAAGTGTTAGCTTAGAAATGATACTTACTTTCATAGCTAATAGGAGGGAGAGCATAACAACTCCTCCTGAGGCCCCCAGTACTTTGGCCAACTCCACCTTAAACTATCCCTCACTCTAACTGCTTGGTCTTATACGTATCGCCAAGCCACTTTGTGGCAAAAAAATAAGAAAGAATATATGTAACAAACATGACATGTAATAATATCAAATGATTTTCTACTATAAACAATAGTTAGTAAAAGCTGGATTTGTGTGTTTTCCAAACATAATTCTCAGCATCTTGTACAAATGCATATATTTTGAAGCAACAAACCTTTGCCAGTTTTACGAAGTGAATTCGAGTAGAATCAAAGGTCCCAGAAAGCTTTGCACTTCACATTTTTTATACTTTCTTAAACTCTGCATTTAAGACTATTTATTTGCATTTAGTGTGTATGGGACTTTTGATTGCATGTATATCTGTGTATCACATGCATACTATGCCCTCAGAGGCCAGTGTTGGATCCACTGGGACTGGAATTACATATGGTCATGAATCGCCACATGGGTGCTGGGAATCCAAAGTTGGTCCTCTGAAAGAGCAGCCAGTGTTTCTAACTGCTGGGCAATTTCTCTAGCCCCCTTGGGCTATCATTTTGAAGTCAATGGGATCATCATATAATTTTATAATTCTCTAAGGAACAGGCAACCAAAAGTTCCCTATAAATCTCCCTGAATAAGTTGTACCACCATGGAGCAGGAAACTAGAACCTTCCTGTTTGTGGTTGATGCCAAGGTCAAGTCAATATTCATATAAGACCAAGTATGTTAGTCAAAACAGTGATTATCCAAGTCATGTATGACAGAGCTTTCAGAAATGTTTGATTTGTTCACCAATCCCAACCACTGTCTACTGGTTTGTCTCAGGTTCTGAACTCTTAAGGTAATTATTAATGGATAATATGAGTTTTAAGCATGAGAAGTTATATAGTATTATAAATGATTTTGTTGGTTGGTAACTTTGATAGGAACAAGATGGAAAAACTGAGAGCCGTGGACTGGAGCAGAAGAGACTAAAGCTGAGCCCGGCCTACTGTCCACTTGAACAGACCCAGCGCTTCATATTTTACTTAGAAGTTTGACATATGAGCAGTAGAGACTGGGTTCTGTTGGAGTGTGTGAATGGGGCTACCATGCAAAGAGCGCAATACCTATTCATGTAAAGTAGAACATAATAAAATAACACAGCACACAAAGTTCACTATATTTGTCTGTGGTTCTTCAGTGTGAATTTGTTATGTGACAACATTGATTCTGATGTCAAAAGGTTGGACATCTCTGTGTGCAACTTCAGATGTCTAATCATCAAGGAAGGGGTTAAGCTGTGTTTCCATTTAGGTGTTCAGTTGTTGCTGTATGTTCTGGCATTTTTACTTCCTGGACACAGAGACAACAATTTATTTTGCGGCTCTACCAAAAGGCTAAGAAGTAGTACATTTAGAGTTAATTTTACCGCTACTTTTTCTTTACTGTATCAAGTATTATCTGACACAATGTTAAAGAAACACAAGAAACACAAAGGCAGAGACACTCAGGAACATTTCAAGAAGGGAGAAGCAAACAAGACTAGATTTCACTTGTCCTCCAGGAGAAAGAAGCAAGTTACCTGTCTCCCCTTCGGACCCCTCTTCCCACGGACCCCAGGAGTGCCCTAGAATACAGAAAGGCAAAAGTAAGCATTTGTTGAATGAATGCATTGGTTGGCATAGCTCTTTTTCTCAACTATCAATTAGTAAAATGTAAATGAGCATCATGTCCAGAAAAGTTTCAATATATTCATTTAACTTCAATATATTCTTTAAAAATATATTTAATTCTTTCTCCAGAGAAGTCTCCTAATATCATTCAGGCTTTCAAATGGGGTCCTTGCCTTCCCTGGGCTCTTTGTGACGAATACACATGCCACCAATAAAGGGAAACCAGGCAAATATGAACATCTTATGCTCTACAGCTAAGACAAGATATCTGTCTTCGTGTGTCTTCTCTTTCTCTGTTTGGAGATAGAGTTAATCAATTCCTTGCACTGCCAGATTCCAATTTTATGTGAATCAATTACAGCAAAGCGAGCTAGAGAGAAGTAGTCCCTTACTGCTCCAGATCATCTTTTATAAAGATGTCGCCAGCCTTTCTTCAGGTTTCCAGTCATGTAAGAAGCAGTAAATTATAACGGTTCTGTCGGGCTGGGTACCCAGAACACTGGCGCCCATGTTCTGAGCACTCTCACTTCCTGCACATGTCAAGGACCAGTTGTCTTCTCTGTATGTGCCCCACTCCCTCATTCAATAACGAGAATAACAGCAGTTCTCAGTGGACATTACAGGAGTTAATCTATATGAAGTGTTTTTATAGTAATGTGTGTGTGTACGGCAATTTGGTAAATCATGTACTATTCCCATCATTATTATCAATTTTTCCCATTTCAATTCATCTTGAGTTAGAGTATCTATTAATTGATATAGAAAGCACCCTTCTTAATATGATCACCTTGACTTATGATCATTTACGATCCTCAGAGAAGAAGAAATCCATCAGGACTAGGCATAATTACACATAGCCTTATCTTCGTATTTTAACATGCATTTTAAAAATTAAATTTAAAAGTTCTAACCAGATATGGTCATATAGTGTTTCCTACAGAAACTTCATTAGGATGTATAGAAACGTAATGTTATTTCTACAGGTGATTTCTCTTAGACCAGGCTTAATTGCTCATTCAGTAAGAATTCCTCCCTGATATGTGAGTTTGTGATCCCATGAGATCAACAGGAGAACACTTTAGACGTCATATTTGAAGGAAATAACCTCACCCTTTCTCCTTCAGGTCCCAGTTGTCCCACCTCTCCAGGAGAGCCAATGAAACCCTTCAAGAAAGAAAACAGTCTTTACATTGTCTCGTGTTACTGTTCGCTCCACAAAATTCTAAGTAGAAGTGTTTAAAATGTTATTTATCTTAATATTAAGCTTAAAGATGTAAAATTATCAACAGTTTCTCATGTTACTGCTTTCTGTCAAAGCATTACACATCAATCTTTTTTCATTGATACTAAAGAGTGGAGAGTGCAACCCAAGGCATGGCAGCAACCGCACATTGACACAGCCAAAGCCTTTCTCTCACTGACGCTCTGGGGCAGGAAAACACATAGACCGTTTATATAATAGGGTAGACTGTAAGAAACACAGGCAAGCATGCATTTCAGTGAGGGGAGGGGAGATGTCCAGCACATAAATCTTGGGAAGCAGACAGAGGCTGCAGATGTACACACCAAACCCAGCAATAACAGCTATGGGACTGTAATCCATAGCACACTCCATCTATCCAGGTATTTTTCCTTGTTCGCTTACTAAGGATGGCTCACGTTTGTTCACTTAGTAAAGTACTAAGGATAGCTCATATTTTCCTTTAAGGGATTAGAAGCATAAAGAGATGCCCCTGGTGTGAAGCTGACTTCCTTCTTCACAGATGTTCCCTTACCCCTGACAATGATGTTGATTCCTGCACCATCAAATGAATCTCCACCTTAAACTGCTGTACATATCTGCACCTCTTTACTCCAAGGCTTCTTCTCAGGCTTTGGTTTGTTCATATGTAAATGATGCTACACTCTGTGAGCACAGCACATCCTAACATCACTAACAGCAAGTTAAGAGTGGGAAGGGCAAAGTAATGATGTGAACACAGCCTCGATGGGACCTGGGACCGATGGCTCCTGTGCACCAAAGGGAAAATGGGAAATGCATTCGTTTCTAACTAAATTTGCATAAAATTCAAAATTCCTAAGAAGTATGGAGATGGCAAATACTTTGTATCTTGTCCTTCTACTTTCTCGCAGGCATACTTAACTGATGAGAAAGTGGCTACTTACTCGGACACCTTTGGAACCTGGGTTACCCTCTGGTCCAGCTAAACCCTGGTGTGAACAAGAGAGGTTGTCAGGATGGCACAGTGTGCCTGAGGAATTAACAAACAGACTGATAAAACTACAAAAAGGTATCATTTCTAAGACTACAAAACTCAGAGCCCAGTTTACCTAAAGAAGATTACAAATGCTCAAAGATTTTTGGAATTTCAGAACCCGAAAGGCATTATATATAACGAATATATATGTTTACGTCATCGAAATAAAGAACATTGGCAGGTGCTGTCAGGAACAACAAACTAATTGTCTCTAAATTATTTTTCAATGGGAAATTATCTGTCTTATGTTAAGACACGACTTACTCTAAGACCTATGTTAGTACATTTTTAAGAGATGATTATGTTTCAAACTTCAAATCATGTATGTTTTCATACTATATTTTTCTGATAACATACACCCTCACTAAATGGTTCCAGTACATTATACATACAAAACCTTGGGACAGTTCTAAGTGCTTAAAATACAACTTTGTTAAGAAATTTTGTTTGCCATTTGCTATTTTTGGATGATAAGGCTATGAATCTACAGTTCAGCATTTAACTAATTATTTTTACAAACAATCAAGTCATGAAAAGTCTAAGAAGAGAAACTCTATTATTAATTTATGTGAAATTGGGAAGAAAGTTAGAGGGAAATAGATACAAAATGTTTGAAACAGATTTTCAAAACTGTTCAATGAACTGAATTCATGTCAGATGAAGTGTTTCATAGTGGTGTGTGAATAACTGCCAATTGCTTCCCAAGCCTTGACAAGCGTGTTATTAAAATAACACTTATTATGGAGATATTTTCACACTTATTTCATTTCAGTGAAGTTAGCGTGGCACTCAGTTAAGATCATATTTGCCTCTCAGGCATCATAATTTAAAAATTCCACCCCAAAATATATCAACTATATTTAAAAGCCAGACGTCCACGTCCAACAAACAAGAATACAATAGAATTTTTGAAGAATTTTTACAACTTTGATTTTGATTGTTTAAGTAATTTGCCATGAAGGAGAACTAACGTTTCCATCATTTGAACAACGACTCTTGAAATCAGAATATGCCATGCAGATGTGAAGGAGAAGTATAAATATAGTCACTGCACCTGCCTGCCAGGGTAGCCAGGTGAGCCAATATTACCAGCGAGTCCTGGAATTCCCTGAAATGAAAAATCAACAAATAAGACATAGGCAAAACCCAGAGGACACCCAAGGAAACATATTTGGGATTTATAATACCCAAATTTAAAAAAAACAAATAATTCCTATGAAATTATTGAGTATAGCATAGTATCGTACTCAAACTGTTATTTAAAGAGAAGAAGTTAAGCTAAAAGTTTAAATAAAAATGTATAAGACCATCACATAAAGGCCCCAAGTGTGATAGTGACCACTAATAACAAAAGTGGGAGGAAGAGTCTGGTGCTGGCTACGTCAATGAGACAATTGTTTCCCAGGAAGAGCAAGTATATTTCATAGTAGTGTTTCATCACCAAACAGAAGAGTCAGTGAATTTCCACCTCTCGTTTTCTGTCTAAGGTACACATAACTTTATAGAGAGTCTGGTTGAGTAAGTACATCGTGATGGACACATACCTTTATAACGCCATGGGTCTCTCTCAAACTCACAGAGCAGATCTGGAGGATGCTTGGACTGAATATTCATGTTCTGCTCCAAGTTCACACATTGAAATCCTAAGCCCAACTCTCAGGCCTGGTGGTTTAAGGGGTAGCACAGCCTTTGGGGGGGGTAGTTATGTTAAATGGATGGAATCCTCATGAATGGCCCTTATATGAAAAGGTCAAGAGCTGAGTATCCCTATTTGTACCCTGCCAGGATATAAGGCAGATGTTTGATGCCCTGAATACAGCCCTTATTAGGTCATCCTGTTTGACCTACCGAGGATCTCAGCTGTTCAGCCTCTAGAATACTTCTCTAGGAAGAACTAAAGCTTTGTTATTTATAAGCCATCTGGTCAGTGGAATTTTGTCATAGCAGCCCACACTAATTTAGGCACAGTGAATTCACTTGGAATTGACACATTTTGTATTCTGGGCTTCAGATACATTTTGCTCAAAGAAAGCTGATAGAGATTCCAAAGACACCAGAGAGGATTGGCTGGAAAAAATGAGTAAAAAAATATTAATTTTCCTCATCCCTTTTCACTGATGTTTTAAACATCTTATCTACTTACTCAGCTGTTTATGTGTATGAGTGTTGTGTGTACCACATGCATGCACTGCCTAGAGAGGTCAGAAGAGGGCAGCTGATCTCCTGGAACTGGAGTTACAGATGGTTGTGTGCCACCAAGCGGGTGTGGGAACTAAACCTTGGCCCTCTGGGAAAGCATCCAGTGCTCTTAGTCACTGGTCAGCTCTTCAGACACCCATCAATGTTCATCCATCATTCATCTGTTTCCTCAGGGTTTATGTGTCTTAAGCGACTCTTAAAAGAAGGAAAGCGGAAAGAAGGTGTGCTGTACCGCTCTTGTTTAAGGCCACATGCTAACAGCAATAGGATAGTGGTAGGCTTTCCAGAGTCCTGTGACATAGAATCCATTTCCAGCTTACTGCCTGTAAAGAGTTAGCAGACTGCCTTTTGTCTGCCGGCTTCTGAGGCACACAGAAGCATCACCTCCAGTTAAATACTGAAACCCCAATACTCCTAAATCAGGAGAAGGAACAGACCCAGGGAGAAGCAAACAATTTAGAGTCCCTTCTCTCTATTGATTTAGTTTTGTTCTCTTGTCCCTCTTCCTGTCCCTGTTGACCAACAACTATTCCTCGCTAAGACTGTTTTTATAGCATGTATTTTACCTGTGCTTTACATCTCTTAAGTTGATACTGTTTTACATCTGAAGCAACGGGGATATGCAGAAGTAATGATGGTGGGTAGTCTAATGGCTTAGGAAAGAACACTGGCCTTCTGAGGCTCACGAAAGGAAAATTCTTATCTACACGAGAACAATCTCTAGAACTGTCAATATAAAATGTTGCCCCACTGATATGAGCTTCGTAAGATATTTAATTCCTGTCATATCCACTGAGCATGCTCTAGACAATAAGTTCCTATCACCTTGTTCAATCTCTTTAAAAAAAACCCTATAAAATAGATATTATTGTTTCTGTGTTATAGATTTGAGAAAAGGAGATAAAATATTTCAGCCACCAGAGGCGTGGACACCATGGTGAGTACATGAGACACCAGGATTTAAATCAATGATTCTGATTCCAGAGACTGCTGCTCACAGAGAATGTGGTCCACACACTCTGACGTGAGTGTGATGTGCAGTTAACACTTCAGGAAAAGCCTCCTGCATATGACCTTCCCCTCAGCATATCTACAACTGTCTTCTTTAATGTCTTATCTGATTCCAAAACACACAGATCTAAGTGGAGAGTCATGAGGCTTTGTGTTTGGATATGAGGCTGGGAAAGGGTGAGACACATTTAAAAGGCAGTTTTTATTTATAGGTCATTGTTTCTCTGATTAACGGGAACCACTATGCCTTTCTCATTCCATTCCTAGTTACATTAAGTGTTTTTTATTTTTTTTAAGAGAATCTGCAATGGAACAAGAGGGAAATATGATTCAGGATGGGTTCCTAACACATCCCAGCTGCAGGGAGGAAACAGGAGAATTCCATTGTGTCTCAGCCTCACTCTATCAGACAAGCACCAACAGAGTCAGCAATGAGCGTCCCTCATGGTCTTCATAAGTCACTAGCATACTGTGGGACAGCCACACTCTAAAATCCACTGTGAAGGACACAGAAACACAAAGGCACCGTGGCTAAGTTCACTCTGTACTTAAAAAATGGATTTAAAAAAATACATTCTAATTGAGCAATTAAGATCAGGAAATGAGGAAGTCTGTCTCAAAGTCACTCCTCATGCAAAGGACATCAAAATAGCTGTGCTTAGTTGGACGACTTCATTAAGAATTGTAGCAATGTCACTACATGTCTTTCTACACAGTCTTGGTTGTCTTATGAGCAAAACAGAATGATGGCACCTGGGTCATGTGACTATTATGTGGGGCAGACGGACAGTATACAGGGATAGCTTCTACAGTGGAAGTTGCAGCTACAGCCCAATGCTTCTGAACATCTGATTAACTAGCACATGTAAAATATTCAGTGTCATTGTACAGTTTGGCAAAAAAGTATAGGCTCAGCCAGCTCTTATGAAAATGGGATGATTGTGTTTTCAAGTGTTTGCTGGCCAGTTTACTGACAATTATTTCCCCCGCAGAAATGAATCTTAGCATCATAGCCACACTCTAAGTGAAATGAATCAATTATTGTCTTTGGCATGTCTAGTATTCTCAGAGTTGAAATGTAAGATTATTTTAGTTGTTCCTCAAGTCACTGTGAATTTTGATTCTCCTTTTTCTAGTCTTTGTGGGGTGTGTGTATACACACGTGCATCTCTCTATGAGTGTGAATGTGCACACAGAGGCCAAAGGTTAACTTTGGAGCCCTTCCTCAGGAGCCATCTACCTCATTTTTGGTTACAGAGTCTCTCACTGAGAGCTAAAGTTTGCCAAGTAGACCCTGACTCAGGGGCAGTGAAGCCCAGGGATCCTCTGTCTCTTATGTGCATGCTGGGAATCCAACTCAGATCTTTGTGGCAAGTGCTTTATAATTCAAACTCTCTGGTCTATAGTTTCCAGTCTGTAAAACTGAATCCAGACTCCCCAGCTATAGTAATATGACCCCTCAGAGCAATACCGTGTAGGTTAACAGAACCGGACCGCTGAGCAGTTTCGAGGATTCATTCATTATTGACAGCGCCGAGTTGTCACTGACTTCTGATGGATTGGGCTACTTTGTTGGAGTCAACATATTTCTGCCAAAGCAGAGTTCTAGGGAAGCTTTTTCTCCCTGGGGGCTAATTCCTATCACCCTTCCTGTACTCCCATCCTGATGCTCACTTGCCTTTTAGCACTTGTCTGAGCTTCAGGAAGCCAAGCCTGCATCTGCTACTGATACGCACTCCACCTTCCTGGCTATGGGTGGTAATTAGTAATATTGAAAAATTGCACCTCAGGGACTGGAAACGCAATGCTGTCCTGCTTAATATGAATTAAAGGGAATCTGGCTTTGTTTCATTATTTGTGTATTTCCCTCAGACACTCATCCTCACTTCTTACTGTGGAGTTTTCTTTAGGACTTCCTAAGGCTCTACTCAATCATTGGTCACAGTATCATTACCTTCGCTGGGCTCTATCCCTCCTCTCTCACTGTCCATGAATATATATTTTCTATGGCACAATGTCATTTTTTTTCTAGTAGGAGGGAAAAGAAGTACCATGATCCAAACCCAATCAGTTACAAATGTACGTTGACTTTTAAATGGTACATGCGTGTGTACCCATACATGAGGATAACAATGTATGGACCATTCTAGTTTGAATTGCTGCTGATTAGGCTCTCATAAACCAATCAGAACTGAATGAATTCTAAAGTTGAAGATCAGCAGTGTGCATGGATATGTATATTTTCTTGGAAAGGGCCTGAAGTCGGTACAGAGTTCTCAAATAGACTCGTGAATCAAAGGTTTAAGACCCACTGTTCTGAACACAGCAGAGAAAGAGAATGCAAGAAGAGCAAAGAGTTGCTACTTCATAATTTTGCTGATAATCTACAGCTGGCCAATCAAAAAAATTTCTTTTTACTCTAAATAGAATGAGAAAAACTATGAGGAAAAATTGAAGTTGCAAGAGGAAAAGTATCTCTCCAGGAAGTTTCTTTATGCCCACCTTTGTGACGAGAAGACCAGAAAGCACTTACATGTTCGCCGCGGAGTCCTGGGAGCCCTGTGTGTCCTTTGAGACCCTACAAGGAAATAAGTGGACATCTGGCACTGAAAGTCAACTCACAGAAGGCAGTCGGGTAACAAAATGTAGGTTCTAAAATCTGGGACTTCTGTTTTTATGTTTACTTGCTCTGTTTTTTAACACTGGACACTGAACCCAGAGCCTCATACCTGCCAGGCAAGCAAGCATCCCACCACTGACCTATATCCCCAGCCCCTAATTAGCTTTTTATCACTGCTTTTAGATCCCGAATCAATACAATAGCCTCTCGATTTCTTACTAGATTTGAGTAAGAGTTAAATTTCTATTTTTTTAAAAAAACTAACTCTAAAAATAGCTATTATGAAAGGCTCCAATCTACCAAAGAATCTGTTAAATATACTGAGGCTTTTTAGAAGTGTGTTTAGCTCAGTAATATTGAGACAACATGCCTTCAGACATAATCTGTTTATAATTACTGAGAAGCTGGACCACATCCAGTCCCATCTCTAATCCAGTCACTGTTGCAATTCATGAATGAATTGACCAAGGAAAGAGGCTGTTCACAGATTCATCCAAAGGGCCCTACAGAACCACCTAGGAATTCAGCCGTAGAAGTCTTCTCTAGATAAGAGAACCACAAACAAATCTTAATCACTCACTAACACCCTAGGCTATAAAATAGATGGTATAATTCTTCCCACTAGAGAGATCTGCACCAGAATAAAAGAAGGTGAAAGAAAGAAGAGGAGAAAGACTTTGAGGCTTATTCACAGAAACTCAGTGAATCAATATTCCATTTCCAGAGATTTCAGCGAAAATAAAAGAACAATTTCTTTCTTTCTTTTTCTTTTTGGTGTGTGTATGCATGTGTACATACATGGCCTTGCATGTGTGTGCTTGTTTGTATGTATTTGTGCATGTGTGGCAAGACCATAGGTTGATGTCTGGTTCTTACTCAAGCTTCCTCCATGGTTTTTTGGAGACAGGGTCTCTCAGGGAACTGGGAACTTTCTGATTCAGCTTGCTGGCCAGCAAGCCCTAGGAATCCTCCTGCCTCTGCCACCCCAGGGCTGTGTTACAGAACTGTACCCTCACACCTAGCTTTTGAACATGGTGCTGGGGGTCTACACTCAGGTCCTCAAGCTTGGGCAGCTAGTACCTACTGACATATTCCCCACTCAGATTCCCTTTTCTAACCTACCTCAGAGAATTGGACTGAAAAGATGAGCTTATGAGTTAAATAAAGGACAGGGTTCACAAGGAAAGGAAACCCATAGGGATTTAAGCAAAATATAACTCATGAACCAACCAGCTAAAAACAGCAACATGTCCTATCTATATATTGTATGAAACAAAGGTTTGCTTTTTTTGCTATTTTAGTGGTTCAGTGTAACCTAATGAAGAGAGTCAGGCTCAGTCACTGTAGGTTAATAAGAGAAAGCAAGTTTAGGTAAATGAATTAGAGACTGGAATAGGATTTGGTTCCCTAATGAGCCTGCCTGAGAAGTAGATGCTTTCGGAAGCTCTGGGGATGTTAAAGTCATGATCAAAATGCTAATGCATACAGCAGCTGTCTTGGAAAGTGCTATGGTTGGGATACAGGATGACCTTGCTACAGATCGTGTTAAACTTGGTTCCCAGAGTAACAGTGCTGATGGCAGTGCCTATAACAAGCGAGCGATTGGGCTTAAGATTCAATGGGCAGATGCCTGTATCCTGAGCCTACCATCCCCTTCATGGCTGTGGTTATTTCTGTGGGTTTTGGAGCCCTGCTTATGAGAACAATGGTTGCTTTTCTGATCTGGAAGATGAGGACTAGAGGTTAAGACAGATGTCTCAATGTGGTATCAAGCCATTAAACATTATGATTGTTTTCTCCTCATATGATGCCTTCTCTTTCTACATCTGACTGTGACTATATGTCTGTTTCTCCTAAGCACAGTGTAAGCAGGTCATGGGCAGCAACAGGCCCATGCCTACCCTTACTGTGTGTATTCCTCAGTCACCCGTTATGCTCCAAAACAGTCAGGGCTCAGAAATCTCCATCCTTGATTGGAATTTAGCATTCACTAGCCTTCCTACCACTTCAAACATCTGTCTTTAATTAAGCATTTGTATATGTTTGTGCAACATCTTGGGAGATTGTGTGATTGATTGATGTCCTAAACGTGAGGAAAACTTGATGGAAAAAAGTAAAGGCTCATAACCTTATTAAAAAAAAAAGAAGAAGAAGAAGAAGCGATCAAGTCCACAAGAAGAGCCATGTTTTTGTTTGGGGGGGGAATTCTCTCTCTCTTATGAGACGGGCTTTATGTTCTACCTGTTTAAAAAGCATTTCTTTGCCCTTCTGTTCTCCATCATGAGTGACAGCAAAGAGCATGTGGGCCCCCACTGGAGGCCAGGTAAGCACCAGCACTGCAGACATCAGCACCATGCTTTTAGACTCTGCAGTCTCCAGAAACAGGATAGATGAGATAAATCTCTTTTCTCTATAAGCTTTCCAGTATCAGACACTGCTACAGCAATGTAAGCGCAGACCAAATCAGGAACCCAAGAGCAGACAGCGAAACGGGAGCCTAGAGGTGAGCTTTTATGGTCTATATGTAGAAAGGTAGAGGGAAGAGGTAAAGGCCTGAGAGCTGATTCATTTGTGATTAAGAAAGAGGTGGAGGAGTGGCCACAAGACAAAGAAAGAGGAGAAAGAAGATGAATGAATTTCCTTAGCCATTACTCACTAAAGCCACCATTTCCCAAGATCCCAGTCAGCTGTCACTCAATCCTATGAGGTTGGTATTACCTCCATTGTTTGTAGATGAGTAAACAGAAGTGAGTTAAATAACATAACCAACAGCACGGAGAATCACATAGCTTTGAGAGATATATCAAGAACTGGACAATCATCTTCCCAGTTATTTAATTTGTCCCTAGCTTATACTCAGATACAACCTGGTTTCACTGCCATTATTGTGTCCAAACTGATGAACTGAACAGACAGACATCTGATATTACCAGTCAAGTGTGTATTACACCCGACAGCACCTAATGTGTGCTGTGTTTTCACTCAGCTTTTAAGATGTTACCTTTTCCAAGATAGGCAAAGATTAATATCATTATAAAATATGAGGCATCGTGCCCACGTGTGGATTCCACAAAGCCAGGTTGATTCCTCTGTTAAAGTTAGAGGTAAGAGTTCACGTGGTGGTGACTCTCTGAGGTGAGGCAGAACTCTCATCTGAGAGAGAGCCTGGGAGATAGGAAAGACCAGTAAGGAACAGGACAGGAGGCACAGATGTTAGTGACTCCCAAAACCATCTTTCTCCGGAAGTGTGTGCTCACTCACTCATTTTCACTTCTGTGAGTTTGAGTCTACAGCTGCATGCTTCACGCTTTTCTCTGTCATTTCCTTCCTCCCTCACCCACAGCTAAAAACAGCATGAAGCACTGGTCTCAGGTCTCTGGACTACTTTCCCAGATGCATTCTACAACAGTGAACTGTTTCCTGCACACACATGCCACCCCTTTTCAGGGAGCCTTCAGTCAGAGAGCCTGAGAAAACAGCAGTGTCACCCAGCATTACCTGTTCTTCATGAGTTCACTTCCAGTTGACCTCATCCATCGAAGTTGGCATATGATCCAAGAAAGAGCAATGCCAAGCCCGGCCATTAGCCCATGAGATCACATAGAATGAGGAACTTTGTCTAAATACAGAGTAGTTGTTTCAAGTACTCTATCTTTTCTAGTGATAGAAAATAAGAATGTTTCAGGGACTCCCTAGTGGGGACAGTGAGATGCCTGCTGGAAGAACAGGAAAACAGGAAATTGAAGTGACTGGAGATGATGCTGAGAAGTCATCATTAGAGGAGAAGAAAGGCAACTTTAAATGGGAGAGAGAGAGAGAGAGAGAGAGAGGAGAAGAGAGAGGAGGGAGAGAATGTACATTGAACATCCACAAATATGCTGCTAAACTACTCAGATCTGCTTGGCATCAGACTGTCTCTATAGGGGTCATCATATTACAGCCCTATTTTTAGATTCTGTATGGTCCCCCTTTCCCTTAATGTTTCAGCAGGGATTGAAACTCTGACCCCCACGTGATGGCCTATGGCACCATCCTTTGCAACCAAAAGCATCTAAGTGAAACAAGATGTTGTCCGTGTCTGTTTCCAGTGTTACTAACGTGAACAGAGCAAGCACAGTGGGTTTTGGCTCCAATCTCTTCAGTGACTAGTCATATCACGAGCCTCGGCGTCATCGTGTGTAAAATGATAGCATTGAATTGGGTAATTGCTAAATTGCAGTTGCTAGAATTCTGTGAGTGCAAGAATCCCTCAGACAGGACGTTGTTGCTTTTGTAAAACTTAGCTGATTTATGGACAGAAAGCAGAGCTAAGACTCACTGTAGGCTTGAAGACATGGGACGAATTCATGACTGGTGTACCTAAAAGCAAACCCAAACTTGGGCTCCAAAGGTTGGCTCTTCACGCCAACAAAAGCAAAGAAATGAAAGGTCTCCACAGGCTCTCAGGTTGGACACACAACCCTAAGCTGGCAACACTGTTTGGGACACTAGAACACGGGGCTAGTGGAGGATCACTGCATGAGTGCCATTAAGATTAAATCAGGCCCCAATCTCTTCCTAGCTCTGCTTCCCGACCAAACAAGGTGAAGAACTCCTCTTCTGCATGCTCCCTGCCATGGTGTTCTGCCTCATCACGGGCTCAGTCAGTGGGATCAAGGAGCACAGACAAAAATCTGAAGCTGTGAGCAAAAGTGACTAATCCCTTCCCTCATGCTGCTTACCAGATATAGGAAGGAGGATACTGGGATGAGAAGAAAGAAAGAGGGTGGATTGCAGAGAGCTGTTACAATCTAGATGAAAGATATTTGTAACAAGTCACCATTAGAGGTGATACATAGAATCCTTAAGGAGTTTAACCTTAAAGTTTAAAGGTGGTGCACACCTTTAATCCCAGTACTTGGGAGGCAGAGGCAGGAGAATCTCTAAGTTTGAAGCCAGCTTAGTCAACAGAATGAGTTCCGGGACAGTATGGGCTATACAGAGAAACCCTGTCTGGAAAAGACAAAACTGGAAGGGGCTTCTTTCCTTGCCTTCAGTGTAGTCTCTCAGTGCCTAGGTGGATGACGTGTTGGGAAGATGGATGGGAAATTACTTGAGCAGAATAGATTCTAACTGTGAGAATTTTATTTGACTAGAATAAAACACCAAAAGGTCAAAATTAACAATGATATATGATCTTTGTCACTGAAGATGCTGATAATAACAGAGCAAAAACACTCCTTAAAGAACTCAATCAATGAGAAATTTTAATATCTGTATGTCAAAACAGATTAAAACACATTTACAATAAATTAAAGAATTATCTTAAATTTGCGATATGACATTCTCATAGTAGGAATTCCCATAAATAGAGCTTAGAATGAATCTATTTTTTACATAAAAATTTTAATTTTAAACTTCTTTGCTTTTATTAAAGTTATCTATGAAAAAAATGAAAAAAAAGAAATTAAAAAAATAATAAATAAATTATTTAAAAAAAAAAACGATGTGACTCGTCTCACATCAGTGTTTTGGGGTTGTGAACTTGTCTAAGACCCCCCATAATTAGACATCCAAATTCAAAATTCACATAGTTGGGATTGATCATAAGATGCCTTCTCTAACTAAACAGAGAAGGGGGAGATGCCAGAAGCCAGGACCCTCGCCCTTACCCTCACCCCCTACCTTTCCCCACCTGCACAATGTCCTCTGAAGCTTGGCAACTGCAAGATCCTGCTTAGCAACTGCAGATAGACTCAAAGCAGTGTACCATATCATCTTAAGAATAGCAGGGAGACCATAACTCAAGCAGTGTACCATATCTTCTGAAGAACAGCAGGTAGATCATAATTCAAGGCAGTGTACCGTATAGACCATGACATGTTTCAAGGCACAGGCCAAGAAGATTTTGTACTTTTCCACCACCTGGCCCCTCTTACCCCCTCCCCTTGTAAAACATGCTATAAAAAAGCATTTCATGTTCAAAAAAAAAGAAATTTAAAAAAAATAATAAATAAATTATTTTTTAAAAAAAGTTATCTATGTGTGCGTGCACGTGCACACACACATGCATGTGCCAAGGATGTGTATGAAGATCAGAAGTCCAGTTGCAGTAGTCTCTTTTCTCCTTCTATCATGAGATCCTGGGATAAAATTCAGTTTGCAGGTTTAAGTTAGTTAGCACCTCTACCTGCTGAGCCACCTGCCCAGGCCAAGATTTTAATTTTAATACTTCTTTGAGTTACAACAGGCTTTTGAATTGAAAACCTGTACAGAATTAACTACAGCAATGTCCTGTGACTGCAGCTGATTCTGAGGCTATAGATATAATTATAGAGGTTAAAATACCTTAAGTCAAACGAAATTATTGCCAATGTTGAAATGTCAACAACCTCAATCAGACTGAAGAAAGATTTTCAAAGCACTCCAGCTGACAAATTTCCGCCTAGCTTCCATTCCAGGGTGCTCAGAACCATGTGGCCTTGACCCTCAATCCCCTGTTAGCAGGAAGGGCAGAGGTCAGACATGGAGACAGAGGAGGCGGCCCAGCTTGTAAGTAGTAGCTTTGGATTTAGATGCTAGCACCACACTTGACTGAGGACCAAGATGAACTAGCTCTGCAGACTTTTATAGGAAGGAGGCCGGGCCAGCAAGGGTTGATGTATAGAGTTGGCAATAGAATGGTGGAAATCTTCACATTGTCTCCTCAGGCCCTGACCTGCAGCCAAGCTATATTCTTTTATTAGTTTTCCCACTGATGTTCAGTAAGGTTACAGCTCTGCAGTGCTGTCGTTGCTTTACACAGCTTGTGAGGGGACTGGAAAACCACAGAGGAGTCAGTGGAAGCAGGTTCTTCTTTTCCTACTTCCCACAGAGTTTTACTCTGCTGTGGATCTTTTACTGTGGACTTTTTCCAAACAGCTGAATCAATTGTATCAAATAAAATAAGAGTTCATGTTGACTTATAAGGATTATTTAAAGCACGGCATTGCCTTCTGATACTCAAAGAAGCCATGCATCCTGACAGAGTGCTTCAAATGTCGGCACGCTTCCCAGTTAGCTGCTTGCATTCCCACACCCTCTCAAACCTAGCAAAACCTTTGCATTTGATTACACTCCTGATGTTCTTACTCTGCAGAATAGCAGGCTTCCAATTTTAATATCGCAGCTGATGAGCTATTTATAAAGCAGTTTGAAAAGCTATCTTTGAATCCAAGCTTAGACTCACATCCTTTGTCCTCTATCCAACTCAGCGTGCATTCTGGATTCAATTTATCTGACGTTTTGGCAACAACAACAACAAAAAAATAGTAAGTGGGAATTAAAAATATACTTTAGCTCCTAGGAAATACAAGAGTTACATGAAGATGGTGACTAGAGGCAAGGTAATCAAGGGGTCAACAGAGGGGACAAAAGTTGCTGGATCGAGATGCTACTATTTTAAAATTAGAGGCAAGGCTAAACGGAGAAAGATTCAAATAACATAATTCTGTTGGAGAGTAAAGAAAATATGTCAGCCATCCTACTTCGCTATTTCTCTCAACAGTACTTAAAGTTGTCAAAACTTTCCACATTAGTCTTTATTTATCTCGAGTTTCTGTGAGTTTCCTTGCGGTCGTTTTAGTTTTTAATATCACTTGCATTTGAGTTTGGTTTGTATTTGGAGACTTTTAATATTTCCAGACCCTTTTCAGAGAAAGAGAATAATGAAGCCACATCATCTGTCATCCAGAACTGTATATCTAGTGGCTTTTGTGAAAAGCGGTGTCTCACTTCCTCTTGAATACAGACTGGAGACAGAAGTATAGAATACTGAAATTCTAATAACTTAAACAATGAGTTAAACAATGACTTAAGCAATGAATTAGCACATAGGAAATACTATGCAAAATTATCAAGAACACAGTCACTATGTCAAACGGGCTGAGACTGAGTCCTCGGTCGCCAGTGAACGGCTTTGGGTGAGTTGTTTAGCCCATGAAGATTTCAGCTAATTTATGATGGGCATGTTCAGCATTATGCACACACATCCAGGGTTGTTTTTAAAAGTGTTCAGCAGACTAGAACATTACACATAATATAGATACTTTAGATATCAGCAATGTTACCAAAGTAATTCATAAAATGGCTCAACTGATAAAAGATGTCATTATTTCATATCAGTTAAAACTTAAGTACCTTATTTAACTCTTATTACGAACATGCATGGTTAAAAGTCCACAGCTTCAGTCTCCAAGGGTCTCTGTCTCACTCCTGTTGTAATTCCTGTGATGCTAAAAATAACCTCTCTGGGCTTATTTTAGCTTCTACCTTAAGAGAAATGTAAGTATCAATTTGAGCTTAGGAATTCATCTGACACCAGGGGAGGGCTGTAAGAATGAAGGAACAGGGTGTGCGAGGCCTTGCTAGTATGAGCCTCTATTCTAGATTCTTCTAGCTCAGATCCTGTTTGTAGGAAGCAACTCCACAAATTAAATGGTACCAAAAATTCAACTGTATTAAGGAGTTCCATGTTTAAAAGGTCATATAACTTTTCCAGGTCATAAACTTAAAAGGTTTAAAGGTCATTAACCCCTGCACATTCTACTCAATTTTTGCCCTTACCCTTCTAAACCAGGAAGGAACAAGAAAAGACAGCAGGCCCATTTTGAATGTAGATTTGCTGATAGGGACCTCTCTCAGTCCAGGTAAGCAATCAGCAAGTCTGAGTTTAGACTGTACCCTCACATGCTTTGCATTCTTAACATTACCTAATTTAAAAAACAAAAAACAAAACAAACAACAACAACAACAAAAACCTCGTGCTCAGTTTTCATCAACCGATGCAATTGGAAAAGGGAGAAAACAATTTCAGAAACGAAACAGTATCAACTCAAAATTCTCAACATTTTTCCGACCTATTGCCAAATCTCATTAACCATGGAGAGTTCGTTTATTAGAGAGCTAGTTACAGTAGCTGGGTTAGGAGAAAGAGCAGCTGTCACGTGACTTGCTGTGCACACGTGACTGCGACTCTTTACTAGCTGTTGCCAAGACTCAGTTTCATGCAACCTGTTACTACATGGAAACGACGCGCCCTCCCTCTACGGCCCCCGGATATTGAAGGTGTGCTCCCAGCTTGTGAAGTTATTTTGGGAGATGCTTGGAATTTTAGGATGAAGGCCCTACCTGGAGGAAGAGGACCGTTGAGAAGGGTTCTTGAGCCAATCTTATCCTTTGCAGCTGTCTTTGATTCCTGGCTGCCATAATGTGAGTAACCTTGCTCTTCCCGTTAGGATTCTCTGCCTCCCTAGCCAGCTACCCAAAGACTGATATTCGTGGGCTGCAAGCCAGAAGAAATCTTTCTTTTAAATGGCCTCTCTTAGGTATGTGTCACAGCGACAAAAAGTTCTGACCAGCAAACGACTTCTCAAGCTCGCGTTTACAGACACATTCTGGCAGATATTACTTCCTAATAGGTGAGAATCCTTAAAAATAAAGTCCAAGTGCATTACAATAAGTATCTCATATGAGCACAAATGTTACAAAAATACAGAAGAGCCTCAGAGTTAAGATGCCGGTTAATATACCTTAAAAGAAGAAGGACTTCAATTTCCTGTCTGTGACTTTGGCTCTGTCCCACGTGTGAATTTGATCTCCATCACTAAACTCAAAGGTCTTTTTTTTACTATTCTCGAGATCTCATCTTTAATGGCTATTAAGTTTCTGGACTATTATGGCTAAAGTTTTTTTTTGAATAACTTTCTTCTGCTGAGCAAAGGGATCTGAGACATCTGTGTGAGCCTCAACTTCACAGTAGAATTTTAGTCATAGAAGTGCTCGAAGATCCATCTGAGATTCGATTATGTCAGAGAAAAAGCGCTTACCTTTTCACCTGGTAAACCAGGGGGCCCCACTAACCCCAAAAGACCTGGGTCACCCTGTAAACAAAACAGAGATGTTTACTGCCATGAAAGATCTGGGGAAGCAAGCCCTCCATGCATGTATTTCTGATCTTGACAATCTGGCCTGCATTCTCTCAGACCTTCCCAGCATCCTTTTTTATTTTTTCCAGCATCTCTCCACCCCAACCCCCGGGCCTCCTCACCTCTTCCAGCACTGAATAACTGATATTTTCCCATGTGCATGCTTTTATTCCTTTCACTGTGTTGTTTTATTCTCTAGGAATACCTTTACCCACAGATTTACCCTTTACAGCATTTAAAGATGTCTCCTTAACCATGGCACAGGGCCATATTCAAGTGTCGTGAGACTCAGAGAGATTTCAAGGGCACAGAGGAAGGACCTCTCCAGCTCAGGGGGAAAGGGAAACTCCTAAACCTCAAGGATTAGGGCTAACTCCTCCCCCATCTAGATGAGAACAGATCACAAGGAATAAAGGAACAAGATTCTATTGTTCGGTTTTCATTGTGTCACCTGCAACACATCTGTTGCAGTGTCAAGAGGGAGAATCAGATTTAATACATGTTCTAAGAGACTAGATTTAAATTCTTTTATTTTTTTTCATTTTACCTCCCTCTCTCAGCTGTGTGGGTGATGTAGCCCTGCAATCCTACTTGTTCTAGAAAGTTAGGTTGAGGGATTACAAGTTTGAGGTGTACCTGGGCTGCAGAGTGGGTTCCAGAGCAATTTAATGAGACACTACCCCTCCAATTACAATTACAATTAGGACTGAAGAGCTCTGGGTAAAACGCTTGCTGCTATACATGCATGGGACCTGATTTAAAATCCCCAGCACCCTCGTGGAGCTGGATCCAGTAGGACACCTCTGTCATTCAGGGCTCTTCTGGCAGGGTGGGATAGGAGAGATAGAGTCCCTGAAAGCCTGTGGATCAGCTAGCCTGGCTTATGCAGTGGGAATGGCAAAGTGGCCCTGGCTCCAACAATGTGGAAGGCAAAGACCAACAGTTAAGATTGTTGTCTGACTGCCACACACATGTGAATGCCTCCTACATACACACACACACACACACACACACACAAACACATGCATAAGCACACACACACATGATATATATATACACATGTATACAAACATATGGTATACATACACATTCACACACACACAAACACACATGCACACAAACATGTGATACATACACATGTGCACACACACATACAGTATACATACACATATACACACACACACACACTTGTGCTCACACACACATGATATGCATACACACACATAGTCACACACATTTGCACAGACACATACATGATATACATACACACATGATATATATATATACACATGGTATACAAACACAAACAGTATATATACACACTTACACACATACACCATACACATACACACAGTCACATATTCACAAGCATACACACACACACCATACACATATAAACACACACATATACCATACACATACACACACACATACACACATGATATACATATACACATAATATACAAACACAAACAGTATATATACACACTTATACACATATTCACGTGCACACACACATACCATACACATGCACACAGTCCATACACAGGCACACACACACACACACACACCATACACACACACGGTATACATACACACATATAAACCAAGAGAAGAGTACTCCACACATAGGTCAGTAACACAGCCCCGTCTAAAGGCCTGTAGCCTTTCCACTGAAAAAAGACAAAAGGCAGAGAAATGCGTCTACTCAGAACTTGACTCTCACTTGAAGCTCACTGGAAGTGTGGTATTACATTTTTACATCTAACTGCATTTTTTATACACTCTATTAAGCACAGTTAGTGTACAAATAAGTCAAAACTGAAAACATTTCAAATGGAGACATGATTCCAGATCCCACTCCCACACTGAGACACTGTATATTTTTATACAAAAAACAAATCACAGAGAGAGATAAAACCAAGCATCAGATATGAATGCTTAGCCTTAACCTGGAGTCTCTATTTTGAACTCACCAGAACAGAGTTAGACCTCTAATTTCAACATTTAATAATAGAGTAAACATGCTGCATTTAAGTATTTTAAAAGCTAGCATACTCTTTCTTAGATTTCTTAGTATTTTTTTTTTATTCTCATGACGATGACCAGATCAATGAAGATATTGTCTTTCTGGAAATAGACTTTCATTCATTTTCTGTGCTTTTCTAACTCTGTGAATTCAGTTTTATAACAAAAAAGGAATTTCTAAAATTTTAGATTAATGATTTTGAGGATTTCTGATGTGGCTATAAATTTATTTACATGAGAACTGTCTCTGGGAGTCCCTCTAGCCTTGATACCATGTAAAGGATTAGAAACTTCCTAACGTGTATGCCTTTGCATTGAGGTGTTATTGTGTCCTGTGTACCATCAGTAAAACCTTTGAAGTTAAGACCTTGTCCTAGGCCAGCCATGGTGGGGTAACCACCTGTAATCCCAGACTTGGGGCTCAGAGAGAAGGATCAATGGTATTTTTGGATACACAGCGTTTGAGGCCAGCCTGAACTACATGAGACCCTACCTCAAAGGAACAAACACAAAGAAAAGGTCCCACTCTGCTCCAGCATTCCCCGCCACAGTGTGAAGCTCCAGCAGACACGGAAGCCAACGGAGCAGAATCTACTCGAGTCTTCAGATTCTTTGTTCAGTAAAATTCAGTAGTTTTCTGCTTTCCTCTCTGGCCACAATAAGATATATTTTTAAAGGAGAAAATAGTATTTATTTATTCATGTGTATGGTGTGTGTGTATGTGTATGTATGTGCATGTGTGTGAGCATGTGTGTGTGTGTGCACTTGTGCGTGTGCACATACTGAGTGTTCTCACTTACATATGCACATATGGAGGCCAGAGGTAATGCTGGGTCTCTCCTCGGCACGGTTTGCCTTACTTTTTGAGGCAGGGTCCCTAACTCAACCTGGAACTTGGAGCAAGCCTTTCTCAACTCCCAGCACTGAGGCTACAGACCCCAGCAGCATCCACCATATACATTTTTAAAACATGGTTCTAGAGATCCAAACTCAAGGCCTCATGCATGTGTGACAAGCACTTTACCTGCTAAGCTGTCGTCCCAGTCCCCTGGAAATTTTTATTTTTAAACATTAAAAATAAAAATATTTTTAGTTCATTGACAAATAATTACCTTCTCTCCAGAAGCAGCTTGGCCGGGGGACAGCCCAGGATCGCCTTTGGGGCCCTAGATATGACAGTTAAAAGACACTTAGGGAAGCATTAGGTACGTGTTGTGTATCACTGGCTTCAGTCACGTGTCCACAGATGAAATACACAGTGTATGGTATCAGATAACGTTATTTTGTGTTCATGAATTTACAACAGATTTTTATCACTACTAGACCAAGACTGAGCCCACTAGCATTTCAAGATGAATGGAGAAGGAGCCCTCCCTGAGGAGCTAGTGGTGTTCCATTGATTAGTTTCCTCAGGCATCAGGAAACAACTCTCCATTCTAAACAGTTCCATTCCAGGAACTCTAACTAACTACAGTGGGTCACATACAAAGAAGAGCTGCGGATGGGGGTGACTTCTTGGGTGGAGGACGTTAGCGAGGAAGGAAAGGAGGTGACAGAGGGCATGTGACAAGAACATGGATAGAATCCATTAAATTCATGTGAGAACCCGATAAGAGATAAAAATATAGAAAAAAAAAACGCTTTGAGCCAAAATTGGGTTACTTGATTTTTAGTATACTTTTTTGCTTTGTTTGTAAACACGAAGTCCTCTAATAACCTCCTAAGTAAAATTGGAATTTAAAAAAATAAACACAAGTGGTATTACTATTAAAACTATTTCTTTACATGAATTGTAAAGATTATACTATCTTTACTACTTGTGAATCACAATGAATTATCGATACTATTTTAACATTGGAGTGGTGATAGTTTAATCAAAGAAAATTGCTTATCACAAAACTTAACATTTTAACATATGACTATGCCTGAGTAATTTTTCAAAATCTTGAATGTGCATGCTAACATTATTTTGATTATTGAGAAAAAATAAGAAGTAAAAAAAGACACTCTGTTAAAAATCTTCTGTTATTAAACAGAGATAAAGTCAGTGAATTATTTTGTATTTTAAGTGAAATATGACATCAATTTTCAGACAATGGTTTTGGATACAATATTAAATTAACTTTCTTATGACTCTGCTATGGATTCAGTGTGTCGTGTTGGTAGATGGAAGGTGTTTGGGTGCTGGGGACAGGGGCCTCATGAACAGATTAAAGAATGCAACCTCTCTGAAGTGGGTGGCCTGTCTTCTCAGAGGTTCTTGACTATCTACTACAGGGTAGGTTGCTATAAGTCAGCCCATTGTCCCCGAACATTCAATATTTCATATTTATGCTGAAGCTAGCCAGAAGGTGGTCACCAAAGCAAGCCAATTGGAATGACCTTAAAATTTCCAGACTAGAACCATGGGTTAAAATGAACTTATTTTCTTTATAAATTTCCCCATCTATGGAACTCTGTTGTATCAACAGAAGACAGATGGTTCCAAATGCTCAAGAGAAATGTGCCTTTTTCTCAAAGTATTTGTCCGACTTCATAAAATATAGAAGCCACTACAGAGAGTCTTTAAAATTCCACTTGTGAATTTTATTACTATTCTCAGGTAAGAATGAATAATTCTCCACTCTCAGAGAATGGTAAATACTGTCTTCACTCTGTGCAAGAAGGAAGAAAGTACAGTTCTTTTAGTGGATTTATGGATGCTTCTCAACAACTCTCAAGCTGACCAACTAAGGAGAGATGATCGGAGGAGTCCTACCCGATGCTCGGTCTTCTCATTTTACTAATTACAAATTTAGAAGCAAATTAGAAATATAACTACGAACCCTGTGTCCTATAGTTAAAGAGACCTTTTGCGAGCCAAACTTGTTTTCTAGGCTGTCCATGGCTATCACTATTTGTACCAACGAGGCTACAGTTATAGGTGCATCTGCGATACAAGATTACTCACCTAAGAAGTAGCTTTTGTGCTATCTTAATATTTAAGAGCCCAACTTACTAAATAACAACAAGAATCTGGGCTTAGAGGAAAGTGCAGGCAACCCCAGCATTTGGGAAGTTGAATTAAGAAGATTTTTGAGTCCAGGAGTTCAACAGTAGCCATGATAACACAACAGAACCCTAATCTTCAGCAAACAATCAAAAACAAAAAACCCTCCTGTAGACTAAGTGGCACTGTGTGTATAAAGGGGACAATGATACCCAGAGGCAAGCGCTGTCGGAGGTCATGGAGGAATGCTGCACTGGCATGTTCCCCATTTGGCGTGCTTTTCTGTGCTATCGAGGACCACTTGACCAGACAATTCTGTAAATGAGCCATGGCCCAGGACTGTCAGACTTTCTGTGTCCCAAGCCTAGCCTGAAAGGCAGAGCACATTTTTCTAAGACGTCAGGAAAATGATGTGACACTCGTTGGGATTTACTTACCTTTGGACCTGGCAGTCCAGGCAACCCGGGATTTCCATGTGGTCCTGGAATACCCTGCAAATAATGAGACTGCCTCGTTATTCCTAGGATAGATATCAATAACAGGATTTCTTTTCTCATTCATACAACTAGTATATAATGTAACCTAATTAAAATGAATGATTAAAAATAAAATAAAAACTATATTTTCAAAGTGATTCCTCACACCTGTTTTGCTCTACCTTCCTTTTAAAACCTTGGACTCATTTTTATGAAGAATCCTCTCTCCCCTGACAAATCTGTTGAAGCTACTGTAGGTGAGATTTCTAGTGTGCTGCTGCCAGGCACTTCCCACCGTTCTGATCCAGTATGTAAGCATTGTGGTGTCGTTTCAACTGTCTCATGACTTGGGCTATTTAGTTTCAGGATTAAAATGTCTTTGAAAAGACATTCTTTATTTACTAGTCTAGTATTCCATATAGTAACCCATCAGCCACGTGGACATTGTCAGTTTGATTGTACTATTGCTAAATTATTAAAATCTGAATTTAAAAATGGATTCTATCCCCTGAGAAACTAGTTTGCACCTTGGGCTATGCTCATACTTGACATTTCTCATTACTAACCCATGCAGCAACCTTGTGAGATAGCTACTGTAGTCTTACTTATGAAGGAGAAAAATTAAGTTCACAGAAACAGTGAATAGAAGGCTGAGACATGTTCCCCTGAAAGCTTCCAGGTCTGTAGGTCTCTGGTGGGTTTTATAATCTCACCTCTGTGTTCTCTAGAACATACATGTTAACACACAACATAGAGTAAGCGTTGCTTGTCTCCTCAGGAGAAAACTGTTCTAGAGAACTCAGTGATGATGTTGAAGATATGTCTAATAAGAATAAAACTAAAAAGAAAATATTACAGTCCATGGCGTTGTAATCTTAAGAAAGAAGAGGAAGTGGAGATTAATGAATGAATGGTTGCTGTAGACTTCAAGGTAATGGGTTTAATCTTATTTTGCAAAACTCAGTAGTGCAACCATGAGCCAATGCAATAGCTTTAGGGAAATGTTGTATCAATTAAAGTTTGGGATTTTTCAAAGGGGAATGATGTGTTGTTGGTTGTGGCCAGATAGGATTAAATTTAAGGAGAGAGAATTTGCAAAGCTGCCACTCTCATGGTAGAGAACTGACCAAAGGAGATGAAATTAGGAATGCACGTGAAATAAGTAGTCTCCCGAAGCAGATGGTCCTCTCCCTAGGGGAGGGCAGATTGGGCAAATAAGAGAGTCGGGTGTTAGAGAAGACCTTGTGTCCTGAGTCACCCTAGCAGGAGTAACAGCCTCAGAGTGATGAAGGAACTGAATCAGTACAGAGAAGGCTGTGAGCAGAAACCCAGGCTCCAATGTCTCCTCAGAGAAGGTGGAGGGATGATGTGGCAGGCTGACATGCTGGAGGGCAGAGACTAGGTAAGAGTGGAGGGGATGAGGAGGGAATGGGGGAGGGGATGAGGGAGGGGATGAAGGAGGGGATGGAGAGGGGATGAGAGAGGGGATGGAGAGGGGATGAGAGAGGGGATGGGGGAGGGGATGAGGGAGGGGATGGGGAGGGGATGGGGAATGGGTAGGGAGAGGATGAGGAAGGGAATGAGGGAGGGGATGGGGAATGGGTAGGGAGAGGATGAGGAAGGGAATGGGGAGGGGAAGGGGAGGGGATGAGAGAGGGGATGAGGGAGGGGATGCAGGAGGGGAAGCAGGAGGGCCTGATAGGCCACCAACTCCAGAGTTTTAGAGTTTAGATTCCCAAAAGCAGCTAAAGCACAATGGGATTTGCCTTAGCCTTCAAGTGCAGAATCATTTAGTGTGAATCTAGAGAGTGGAAAGTAATATTTTACGGCAACTTGGCTTTATATCCTTAGTACATTATAAATCGGGGTGCAAAGAGAGTTGATTACATTAAACCCATTTGCATCTGTCTTCGTGGCCCACAATTCTTTTTCTAGTTTATTGAAGACAGACTTTCTTCAGCAAAAATCTCCATCTATTTCTCTAGGATTGGAGGGAACTAATTCTAAGAGAGCCATAAATCTTTTATGGAAGCCGTGTCATGTGAGAAACTGCTGCTGATCCCTAAGGCAGTTCTTTTCCTTCCATGGATGGCTCCAGCATTTCCCACTCTGCAATCCAGGAATGCACTATGTAAGGAAGTCTGATCTGCTTTGTTTCCTGAACAAAGCTGACCTTAGAGCATTGGTATCACTCTATAACTTAAAAGGACGTGAGAAACCAAGCAGAGCAGCCACGACTCTAAATTTGATCCTATGCCTTGGACATTTTCGCCGAGAGTTCTTTGGCTCTAAACAAGGCTGCAGTGGAGGAGCCGAGTGTGAAGATGCAGCTTTCCAGAGAATGTACATCCTGCCCAGCACTAGAGGTAAAACCACCATGGAATGTTACACATTTACCAGACAGCATGAAATGAAGTCCATCTACTCACCCTCGGGCCTCTCTTGCCTGATGGACCTGGGATACCCATTGGACCAGGCGGACCCTTAGGGAACAAACATCAGGCATTAGACAGAACAAACAGTAAGCATGTCTTTCCTTACAAATCATTATCAGATTTCTACACCATGATAACTCCTCTTGTCTCTTTCCCCTCCTCCCATTCCCTGTTCCCAGCTGACAAGGATTTTAAAGCAACATTAACCCCTCACCCAAATCTGCATGGGCAAGGTGAAACTCTACCTCTCCTCCTCTTTAATCTGGCCAGAAATGGCAATGGCAAGTCCATGGCTTGTAGTTATAGCATGCTATCTGGATTTTACACAGAGAAAAACTAGTAGTTTTGGGTGTGATTTTTACCTAAATTTATTTTTTATTATGGAAGGAGAAGTTCAACATAGAGCTGGTGCTCAGGTACAGTTGGCTTTTTGTTTCTTTGTTTGCTTGCTTTGTTTTAACACACTTCAAAAGAGGACTTTAGTTTGGAGAAAGGAAAACACTAAACATTTTGTGTTCTTTTAAAAGAACTATAGCAAGGATCGAAATAACGTGCTACAATGTTAATGTTACTTGTTTCAATGAGGTGCTTCTTATAAAGGCATAATAGATTGTCTTATACCAAATATGACATACTAGGAGCCCACTAATAAAGACAGTTAACTTGTAAAGCAGCAATGAGGGGATAGAGAGACAACCAGGTGGTTTAAGAGCCCTGGCTGCTCTTGCAGAGGACCTGGATTTCATTCCTAGTACTCATGTGGTGGCTCACAACTGTCTCTAACCATCTCTAAGCAGCAGGCATGCATGCAGTGCGCTTACAGAAATGTATGTAAAATGCTCGTATACGTAAAATAAAAATAAAACTTAAATAAAGAGGATGAAGGCATAGTCTCCAGTATGGGAAAATATTTGTAAAGCATTCATCAGACAAGGTAGTATAGAATATGTAAGAGCTTTAGAAACCTCAGAACAAAATAATCGCTGAGATTGGACGAACCAACTATGTGAACATTTCTTGGAAGAAGATACACAAGTATCTAATAAGCAGGTGAAAAGAATGTTCAGTTTCTCTATTCCTCAAAGAAACGCAGTCAAAACCACAACGAGATATTATCTCCCCTCAGTTATTTTTCCCAAAAAGCATAAAACAACAAAAACAAACAAACAAAAACCAAATACAGCAAGGACGAAGAAACTCTCATAAACTCTTGTTAGTAGGAATGCAAATTAGCACAGCAATTATAGGAAGCAGTGCAGTCACTCTACAGAATCTAAAAATAGATCTTTACCGTTCAGCTCTCCCTGTACTGAATATACACACCCAAAACAAATGAAGTCAGCACAGGAGAGACTTGCTCCTCCATGTTTATCATGACTCTACCAGCAACTAATGAGAGAGTTGATCAATCTAGGTTCTCACCAGGAGAGATGACTAGATAACAAAATACGTTATGCAATACAAGCAAAGATATGTTATTCACCCATAAGAATGAAATCCTATCTCATAACAAGGGTGGAGTTTGAAAACTCAGAAAAGCACCATGTATTTCCACTCAAGCGTAGAATCTAAAATTATAAATATAGCAGCCTTAAAGGAGAAAGTAGAGTGATTTGGAGAGGTTAGGAGGAGAAGGCATTGTACAAAGGCACTGTTACAGAGGAAAGACGTTTTGAGTCTTCCAGTACAGTGGATGACTAGTATACAATAGCATACATTTCATGAAGAGCTAGCAGACAGAATTTGAAGGCTCTACATACAAAAATAATGACATGGAAATAAATGTACCTGATACCTTGATTTTATGTATTATTGGCTTATCACACTGTGAGTAAGTATGTGTGTTTGTTATGTGTCTATAGAATTTTAAATTTAAAAATACACTGTGAAAGAACTGTGTAGAGATACAGATAGTAAAATGTGATCATCCAAAAGTGGGAAACTGGCCGATCCACATGGCTTTCACAGAGGCAGTGAAACAAATATGACACTGTTGTCTCTCCAACTAGCACTTTGTAATCTACCTTCTGTTTCCTGCAGTTCTGAAGATGAACTTTCAAAGCTCAGCTGTGGCTCTCTCATCAGAAGAAAGGAGATATTCCCTGCTGCCACTCAGTTCCCAGCCGTTGACTCCTCTGTATCGTTTTTTCCTGCCTATTGTAATTAAGTGCAATATTTTTCTCTGCACCAGTTTCAACCACTCTGCTTTCTTCTAGTATAACCAAAAAGCAACGCTTCCCACAGCTCTGCTTCCTAACCCTTGTGTACGGCTCTTGCTGTGAAAATATTATACAACCTTATCATCCCTGCAGTATTGACAAGGACTCTCAGATTTATACCCAAGCCTTGACTTCGCTTCCTCAACTCTTTTGCCTGAATTACTCATTGCCTCTTTCTTCTTGTCAATCACTGTCTGCTGATGTCAACTGGATAGATTCACTTCACTAAAGTAAGTATTGCTATCATTATTTTCTCAGTCTGTAACCTTAAATCCTGACAAAAAACTCAGTCCCCTCTTTTTACACAGCCTTTTACTCCTTCTGACTCTCCTATCAAGCCTCTATGTTTCTTGCTTTGAGCTTTTCTTCAGGGTTGGCCTTCTTTTTCTCCTCTACATCTAGGATATCTGTTTTGATTATCCTACAGGTGCTCCCACAAGTCCAGCAGAGGCAACGCCACCTCCTGGAACCTGCCTAGGATGCCATACTGTCTTCTTGCAGCCACACCACCTGACTGCAGACTCCAGAGACACACTGAGACCCAGAGATGCATGCCGAGATCCAGAGACACTCACTGAGTCCTACAGACAGATTCAGACCTTCCAGCTACAAATGAACTCTTTTGCCAAAGTCAAATAGCTAAAGTAACATGTTAGTGAGGAAAACATAATGTCTATTTAGATTAATCAGATGTCATTACTCTCAAATTGTACAATATGTATTTAATAGATTCAATGATCCCTTGCCTTCCCAACCCCCACCCTCAACTCCTCTTATCCTGTGACTTAATTGTGCTAACCCCTCTGGCCTACATAGTGCTTTCTTTTGGCTTCTTCATCCAAAATTTTCACCACAGATGACACAGTGACCCCCTCTTTTTTAAAAAAGGGAAGGAGATGTGGGACTGCATAAGGGTATTCTGGGTCATGGCTGGGCAGTTGCCTAGAACCCAGAGACTCTGCACGAGAACTGACAGGAGTTCGGTATACCCCCAGAACCCAGGGTCCTGAAAAGCAGTCTAGTCTCCATAGAATTACATTGTTCAGTCACGTAGGCCAGACAGCCCCTCCCAAAGTGCACAAGTAGAGGGTGTGACTACAGGCCTCAGGCCCTAGGGATTTACATACTAATGAAGGCCAGAGGGCAGAACAAATTAAACATGCCTCCTCAGATCCTCCCCCTTTCTCCCTCCCTATTTAACTCAGGACTGGCCTGTGTTTTACGGGGGTACTTCCAGATTCATCCACCATCCGTCATGACAATAAAACCTTTTGGAACCAAGGACTTCCTCATGTCATTGGGGCCTGCCGCCGCCAAAGCCTTCAGGCTGCTGGAACCACAGACGTTCCTTGCGCATGTGGGACCTGCCACAGTGTGGAAAGCTGGGGCCATCTCTGCCGCTGTGGTTTTTTTTTTTTTCTATATATATATATATATATATATATATATATATATATATATGGATTTATTGTAACTTCCAACAGTTTGCCAGTTTGCCTTAGGAAGAGTTGTTGAGAAAACATCAGCTGCCTCAAGTAATAACCATAGGGAAATATAAGCCAAGGACATAGCATCATCTTATTCCAGACTATGGTTTCAAGAATTCAACCAATGACTCTAGCTGTACTTTCATTAAATAAAGAAGTATCTTGGTGGGGCTAGAGAGATGGCTCAGCAGTTAAGAGCATTTGGTGTTCTTACAGATGACCTGGGTTTGATTCTCAGCACATACAGGGTGGCTCACAACAGTCTGTACCTCCAGGAGACTGGAGGCCCTTTTTTGGCCTCCCTGGTCACCAGACATCCATGTGGTACAGAGACACATGCCAACAAAACACTCACATACATAAGAAGATTTTAAAATGTGCCTTAGGACATATTAATATACTTAGAATTTTTTAAATAAAATTCTGAAAATATACAGGTAAATTACTTAAGCTAACCAAATATCAACAGCAAAAACAAGCAGTCACAACACAAATTTCAAATGAGGTTTTGTACCTGCATAAAGGAAGAAGTTCAGAACTGAAAAGTTCAGACCAATGTTTTACAAACTTGTTTGCATATTATTAAATTGACCTGGGGTTCTCCACTAAAGATGCTATCTTTTTTTCCCCAAAGTAGGTTGGTTGACTGAGTATTTTTATATAAGGTAGGTAGAGTTTATATTAATCCACTTGTAAGCTAACTACATCATTAAAGAGATAATGAAATACATTGTTCACCAAATAAATGCAAATATTTCACAGAGAATGATAAAGGTATAGGTTTTCCCCCAGCAGTTGTCCACAAAATAACATCTATCAAAGAACAAATATACTTTTCTGATCCATTTGATGTGATTTTGATAATGGAATAGTTAATTGGTATATTCACTATATTTTTCTTAATCTAACTTTTATATATACCCCTTTAATATGACTAGGAATTGAGCATGTGTTTTTGTTTTTCATAAAAAATATATAAACCTATGCTTTGCAGTTAAATTTCTGGTTGGATGTCAACTGAATTAGAAAATCATATAGTCTCTCCACCACTCTATGCAGAATTAGGTAACTTTTAGCCTACTAACCAAAAACAAAAGTGTAATTTGAGACAGGGCTGTGTTCTAGCTGATGTGGTACAATAAGCATGATGTCATCCACTGAGTCAGGGTACATGTCTTAAACAGATATGATCTGTCCAATGTTGTGTGGTCCAGATACCTCTTTGAAATGCATGGTATCTTAGTGCATTAACACATGGTTTAAAAAGAAAAATCCAACTTACGGGCGGTCCAGTGTCTCCTTTTGGCCCTCTCAGATATTCCGTGTCAAGCATTGCATTATAATCCTCATAGTAGTAATAGTCGTAGTTCTGGGGTTCATAGCTATTTTCGATGGGATTAGTAGCATCGGGGTAAAATTCACCTTTCTTCCCTAGTTCAAGGTGGTTATCCACCGAGGGCCCGTGTATCACTCTATACAAGGTACTGTTTAAGATCCGTTCCATTTCCATGAGTTCATTGTTGTATAGATTTGCTGTGATAGCCTTCTTGAGGTTAGTCAAGGTGTCTTGATTTGTGTGTGCAGTGCTGGATGATGCTTTCTTAGGTGGGGGCAGGCCAGCTGCCTCCTCATGTTGGGTGATGTTGTCGAATTCAGCCAAGAGAGGGTTAACTCTCTCCTCTTCATTCATCCTTGCCTCCCTAGAAGGATGACGGGGCACTGACAGGGTTAAGTTTGTCTCTTCCTTCATGGTGATTTCCTTAGCTTGAATTCTGTAGTTTGGGAGAGTCACAGCAGAGATGTTTCCTGAATAAAAAGAAGTTAGCAGAGCCCTTGGTGTCTGGTGCTCTTGGCTTTCATGTACTGTGGAGAAACCATTGCTTTTGATGTTTGGGGTGCTTTTGACTGTCTCCTGTGGCAGTTCTGTTTCACCAAATCCTTTGGGCAAGGGAGCCTGCTCTGTGAATCTCTTCTGTGGCAATTCTGTTCCAACAAATCCTCTGGGCAAGGGAGTGTGCTCAGGGTGTCTGGTGGGCATTACTGATGTGTGAGGAAGACTTCTTTCAGTTTGGGATTCGTCTGTTCGGGAGCACTGCTGTTTGAGGAGTCTGCAATAGTCAGCTGATGCCGCTGTGGAAGGCATGATATCTAACTGGCACACTGTTCCTTCAAAGTGGGCAGAACTGTTATTCATACTTCCCAAGGTAAACACACTATGAAGGTCAAAGGTCTGAACTTCTGAAGTAGTCTCGCCACTAAAATATCTCTTTCCACACTCAACAAACATGGAGACAACGCGGTGGTCAACAGTGATGGCAAATGAGTGCCATCGCTCGTCATGGACACTGTAATCGAAAGTTACTGTTTGCTTTCCTCCGGCATGTACTATTAGTTTCTTAGGTAGTAGCTGTACGCCAAACTGCAGCCTGTTGTTATTCCGAATGCTGAAGAGAAATGCATTGTTCACTTTGAATGATTGCAACCCAATCAATACCGTCAGTGGCTGCCTTAGGCTAACGGGTAAAATGTTCACAAGAGGTGACTCAATGTAGGCATTATCTGTTAAAACGACACCAAAATCCGTTAAATGGACCCCCTGAGGTAATGGTGTGGGTGACGATGACGGCACAGCTGTCACCGATGATGTGTGTCTTACATCTCTGTCTCCAAGACCTAGTTGCTGAAGAATATCTATGTCTGGAAATGAAAAGAGAGAAAGGTAGGAAGGAGCTTACTGTTAATATATTCATACAGATATCTGAGTATAAAAACAAAAATTTATTTCCAATTGATATAAGAATGTTCTATCCTATGAGAGAGATGTGACTGTCAATGATGTGAACGAATCAAGTATGGACACACTCACACACACACATACATACACACATGGACACATGCATATACACACATATACACACATACACACACATATACACACATATACACACAGAGATTCACATACACACATACACATATATACACACACAATATACATACATACACATACACACACACATCACTATCATTTATGCCTCCAAATAATTTAAAATCAGTTGAGTTCTTTTGATTTTTCTCATGTTATTAGAATTCTTGTCACTCCACTATAAACACACATTCACAGCTTCTGAATGTCACTCATATCCTGAACTTATAACTGAACATTCAATGACATCCATGTCCAGGTGAAACTGAGAGCCTGCCGACGACAGTAATCTGTAACTCACAATCCTCTTTATAAACTGATTTCACACCAGCACTTAAATTCTAATTTTTCAAACTTCTTAGAATTTAATCTCAGCTTTCTGTGCCTAAAACCTTAGTAACACACCACACTTACAGCACCTCAGTTACTTTCCCAAATCCTTGAGGGACGCAGGAAAATGATTCAAATTTGCTTTGTCTTTCTTTTTTTCCCCCTTTCTCTCTCCCTCCTGCTTCGGGCCTCCAATCTCCTCCAGTGATACCAGCGTTTCCTTTCTAAAATTAGTTCTGTGTGGCTCCTACCCTGTAAATAATGCTAATCCAAAAGAACTCGCACAGCGAGCTCTGCTCAGCTCATTCTCCTGCCTCCGGACTCATTCCTGATTGTTCAAGCTTCAGAATGAGTCCGTCACCTCAGGAAGTACATTTTTGCATTTTACGAGCCCTCTCCCATGTAGCCAATAGTAAGATCTGTACTTCTGTCTTGTGCCTTTCTTCTGGGCAGTGTCTGCCCTGCTCAGACCCCGCCCCCTCCCCCATAAATCACAGTGGTTCTCAACCTTCCTAAGGCTGTGACCTTTTAATACAGTTCCTCATGTTATGGTGATCTCCAGTCACAAAATTATTTTCATTGCTACTTCATAGTAATTTGAGTACTGTTATGAATCATAATACAAATCTCTGTTTTCCGATGGTTTTAGGTGATCCCTGCGAAAGGGCTGTTCGACCCCCAAAGGGGTCTCCACCTTCAGACTGAGAACCACTACCCTAGCACTTCCGGTATTCCAGAGCTAAACATTTAGTACTTCCTTTCAGAGGTTTTGTTTCTGCGACCACTTCCTGTGTGTCCATGGTAAACTGTGTCATCTCTATGCTCATCTCCTTTTCTCTTTGTGTTTTAGCCCTTGTAGACTTCATTAGTCTCTGTTTGTTTTTCCTGGACTGAAAAGTTTAGGATTATTTGTTCTATTTAGCTTGTTTCCTTTATAAATATAAAAATATAAAAATAGAATATAAAAAGAGAAGTGGGAAGATGCTATCTCAGAGTTGATATTTACTCTGTTTATGCCCAGAGATCAGAGAGAAGGCTTGGCAATAAAGAACACTTGTTATTCTTGCAGAGGACTTGGGTTCGGTTCCCAGCAACCGCACAGTGGCTCCCATCAAACAGTAATTCCGGTTTCATGGGGCTGAATCCCTGTCGGGCCGTGGAAGGGCATCTTGGTTCTTGGGTTGGCATGGGCCTGGAACCCCAAGACGGCAGGTGTTCGGCCATGTCCCCAGAGCCCAGGGCCCTGACACATGGTCTAATCTTCATTTAACCTGTACTGTCAGTCACATAAGACACAGGTAGAGGGTGTGACTAATAGGCCTCTGCCTCGAGATTTACACATTAATGAGTTATCTAAAGGGGGCATAGCTAATTAAGTTATTCCCTCCCCTCTTCCCCCTCCCTATTTAAGCCAGGCTTCTCCTGGCATTTGGGGGTGGTGGTGGTGCAGGCACATCCAGATCCAACTATTGTGCCATGGACAATAAACTACTCTTTGGAAACCCAGCCCATGTGTCTTCTGGGGCTGTTACTGCCATTGACAAGCTTCCAGCCTCTGGAATCCTAGACCTTCTTGAGTATGTGGGACTCTGCTGCCCACCTGTCTGCGGCAGGTTGCTACCACGTGGGCCCATCCCCCCCCCACCTCGAGCATGTTTTTTCCCACAATTCCCCCTTCTGATCTCAGCAGGCATCAGACACCTGGTGTATAAATATACATGCAGGAAAAATGCTTATACATGTAAAGTAAAATAAATCTAAGAGAAAGACCAAGTCAATGCTCACTTCACAAATGATGACATCAAGGATCAGAAAAGTGATGTAACAAGTCAAAGGTCATATAACTGCTAAACAGTTAAGTTCAATTCAAGTCATCAGTGTGGCCTCAAGGTTGACACATGGCTGTCTCATCCCATGACCTGACATGTTCCTCACACAGCACTTGTAAGATATCACTAGCTAACTACGGAAGGACTACTTTTCCCTACTGCAACTGTATGGTGGGGAATACTCTCTCCAGTTAATCTGGCACCCATCTGTGGTGTAGCTGTTTCCTCTGAAATGAAACATTCCTTCTGGAGGGAACAGAGGGGGCTCTGCAGCCTGTCTGCAGCCTCACAGGACTCACAGGACACAGACAGGAACTTTCCATCCACAAATACTAATAGGAAAATGACTCGAATGGTGGAACTGTTTCAAAGCTACATATGGGGCTGTAGGGATGCAGCTGTTCTGGGTCTCCACCCATGCTGGGGTGGGCTGTTCATTGATGCACTCACTGCCTGAGTCCTCTGTGCTTCCAAAAGCTACCATAGTAAGTTCCTTCATTCACTAAGCTAGGATTGGGTAGGGGTTTGTTTGTATTTATTGTAGTCTGTTATTGCCTTTTGAATCTGAGGTGAATAGACATAAACTTCCCAGGCAGAGCCACACAACAGCATCTTAGGTTTAATCTGTCATAGACTAAGCACATTTTGGGGGCAGAAATTTACAGAAAAGAGAACTCAATGGTAGAAGATACCTATAAGAGAGATTGGGAAAAACAGAAGCAAAGGAAAGAAACAAGGAAATTAAAGAAGGATGAGAGAGAGAGAGAGAGAGAGAGAGAGAGAGAGAGAGAGAGAGAGAGA